TTTGATCAAAAATTCATGTATGTTGTAATTTTTTGGAACGCACGTTTTGTTGGAGCTTTTGGTACTGTAGATTGATGTGATATTTTTAAACTTTTTAGAAATTGTTATTTTCAAATTTGCATTATTGTTGGAGCCATAGGCCTTTGATTGAAAGATCTTCAACATAATAGGTTTGGATTTTCAGAATTTCAAAAATTTTAGGTCCTCAACCCATAGCAGAAGCTTTCACTGTGAACGTTGGGAGCCCAACATTTTACGTATCTCTTCTGTGCCTAACTCAAATCTAAAAAAAAAATCCGATTATCAAAATAATCCATAAATTTCGGCTAGATTTCTCATTTCTCATTTCTCCGCATAAAAATATAAATAAATTTTTCCAAACGAGTTAACTTATTCAATCAACATCCGTTTTACTTACTTCCCCCTTTTGCATGACTACTTTCAACTAGAAAAATTTGCATGACCCCTCACCAACGCAAAAAAATAAAAGAAAAGCAACAAAAATAGTAACCCAAAGGCCTTTCGGTTCTGCAACTCAAACTCAAACTCATGACTCACTCAAGAAAATACTGTTTGCTTGCATACACACATATTTTCCCTCATTTTTCACTCAAAATGCTATCCTGCGTCTCTTCAACGTGTTGAAAACGGACTGTCTCTCTGCGATCAGCGCAATATTTCGCGCACCGGATGACCGTCTTGTTGTCTGCAACTCGGGTTTTTTGTGTTGCTTTTCGCTCTCACGACTTTTTTGTTGTGCGTGTGTGTGCGTATGAATAAACGCTCTGTCGTTCGTTCCTCTCTGGGGTTGTTGTTGTTCTGCTGCTCCTTTATTTTTTTCCCCGTCGTCTTATTTTGGCTTCTACGTCTTTTCTGGGTTTTTTTTCGCAAATCTTTTGTATTATTAGTTTTTGGGCAAAAAAAAGACGATTTTATGATAACAAGTCTTTTATCGAAACGATAAGGGAATATACATGATAAAGTGCAGTTAAACTCTGTTGGAACCAATTTCCTCTTATCAGTTTTTTAAAGTTGAGCTTGACTGGAACAATAGTTTTTGACCATTGTTGAGGTTGAAGTACACGAAATCTAGATGAATCCTGACAAGACACTCCTGATTCTGAAGATCTTTTTTGTCCAAAAACCATTTGGAGCTCATAGAATCTGAAATCTGCTTCTCTAACATGAGCAATATATTTTCAAAAACTGCCAAACACCAGTGTTTGGTTTCAATTTTGAAACAAATAGTTTATGATAAACAAAACATCCATCTATCCACTTTACTTTTTCTTGTTGTTATTGTTATACACAATAACAAGTCAATAACTCATCGTCAATTTCTCGTGCTCTTTTTCTTTTTCTTGCTCATTCACAGAAAATACCGTAGTTTATTTTTTTTTGTTTCTTGTTAAAACATACATACATATAGAGAGAAAAAAGCCAGAGAACAAGAGACAGAGGTCACATGATCGCAAAAAATTGATAACAAATGATATATTGCCTAACTGACGATTGATTGGTTTTTCTTTCCGTGTTTCCCTCATAGTCCTAAAAATCAACAATACATATGTGTATGTTAGTTGAAGACCGTTTCAATTCGAAGATGAAATAGCTTGCTTGAATCGTCTACCGTATTCAACCAGGAATGACCTTACTTTTACTACTAGCCCTAATTTCAATCACAACCCTCGACGATGCAAAATTGAGAGAGAGAAAGAGAGTTAGACGATGAATATGGGTCAGATAATTTTGAAGATTAACAAGATATTCATCGATGTGTTGTGGGCACTTGAGAAACCAATTTCTTGTTTTGTTGTTTCGACAAAAGTCCCCTCTTTTTTCCGGAAAAAACGAAATTTCTTGCTTGTCAGTCAGAAGAAGAAGAACAGCGCCCAAGTCCTTGACAATTCCATTGGGACCATCGAAAAATGGGGGGAGAAGAAACAGAAAAAAGAAAATGACGAAGAAAAGAGGAAACGAACCAAAAGAGAATGCGGTAACATATGCCTCCCCCCGATTTTAATTGCGAATGAATAAATAATCTAATTCAGTTCATCCGGGTGGTCCCTTTGCCGGAAAATGACCGGAAAACTGTGAAGGCGGCTTGTTTTTAGAAGATATGTATGTTTTGAAGACGAAGAAGAAAAGAGAAAACAAGTAGAAGATTCGATTTAATTATTTATGAAGTGTAGGAATAATACAAGCTATATTTTTTTGTTTTTGTTGTTGTGGAGGAAAAATCAACAAAAAATAAAAATATAGTTTTTTTTTTCACGGCTAAAACAAAATTGAATTAATGTTGTTGATAATGACCTTGGCCTTGGTTTGCACACACACACACACGCACACGATGTATTTTTCTTCCGAGTATGTGTTTTTTTCCGTCATGCAAACTATGGGACGCGCGCGCCTCACCGACCGCAAAATTATGTAGAGAAGGTCAATTTTGTGAGTGAACGAGGTGTTCAGTTTTTTTTACACGGTGGTCAGTATTTTTGACAACCCTTTTATCTCTGAACCTCTAGATTTGCCGTCAAGATAACAGGCAGACTGTCATCTTGATTTTTTGAACTTTGTAGACTGTTCCAGAAAATGTTAGAACCTCTAGGTTCAGAAAATCAAATTTCAAGAATCTTAAGGTAGTTCAGAAGCAGTGGTCAATCTCAAAATCACTGGTTCTATTCCCGGTGCCCACTTCACAGCCGTAAGCTGGACCCTGACTTAAGTTAGGCGCACCCAGAAGTTAGGTTCAAACATTTCTTCATCATAGGCCCAGAAATTTTCCAGAAAATCTAGGTTGATCTTCAAGTTAAAAGAACCCTGTCCTCGTTTCTCAATATTTTCAATTTTCCAAACTAAATTAATTGTTCAAATTTTGCACCTTTCATAATTTCCGGCAGCTGGAAAATGTCAAAAACAGTTAATCCTCGTCAAAAATACCACCCTGTTTTTTTTTCAATCCTATTTCTCTCTCAATCCCAGATGTTTCCACAATTTGATCAATCACATTTTCAATTTTAATCGACAGCTTTTCAACTTCAATATTTTTATATTTTTTTATTCTCGTACTCTTGACAACAAGGACCATTGAACTTTAAAGCATTGAATTTCATTGTTTGTTTTTCCTATTGTCACCTAGTGCAAGCCGAATATGTAATCATTTATTCTGAATACGTTAGGGATCAGTTCATTTTCAAAATACTACTCTGTTGCAATCGAAAAAGTTGAAACCCTGAAAATAAGGCAAAATATGACGACCCCTCGCCTTTTTGTCTTTTTTTTTCTTCTTCGTATTTCTCCACCATCATCTACTTTTTTTGTCGTCTCTCTCCCTCCATTCCGATTGTTGTGTATAGATGTGTCAACGTGTCTGCGCACTCCACTATTTTGTCTACATATTTCCAAAAAATCTTTACACCCTCCTCATATTTACACACACACACACCACCATTCAACCAGCCGTGTGTGTGTGTCAATGTCTGCTCTCTCCACCCAATGGTAACGCTTTTTTTTCGCAACGGGAGGAACTATTGTCAAATGTCTGTCGTCTCTTCAATCATTCCTCACTATTTTCTGTCATTCTCTCTCTCTCTCTCTCTCTCTCTCTCTCTCTTTATACACATTGTTCGAATCTACTATCCTTTCCCCATCCCGTGTGCGTATGTATACGTCTCCTGTCTCTCGGCTCCCTTGCCCATCGATTCAGAGCCACCCTCCCTCCCTCCCTTGTTTAGCACGTTGACCCCGTCGCTTCTTCTTTTTTTTTCTTTTTCTTTTTTTCTTTTTCTTCTCCTTCTTCGTTGTTGTCAGCTTCTTCGTCTTCTTACTTTACTTGTTTTGGGGCCCATCTTACTTTTTTTTTCCACGAAAAACAATAATTTCGTTTTGATCTACCTCTGAACTCTGAACTGACCTTGAATGGGGGGGTGGCCTTGGAAACTTCCTCAGTCAGGGCTAAAACTGAAATGTTTATCTCGATTTGATTAATTGATCTTGTTTGTATTGATAAGACAAATCCAGAATAAACTGGATTGATTCTCAAACAAAAACCAGATGGATGCATAACAAATTTGATGGGCGGCTAAAGATAACACAAATGTTCTGTATTTTTTTTTCACGAGAGAACATTTTTTTGTTGAATCTTCCTACTGATTTTGAATTTTCAAATATACACATTTGTAGATGTTGCATTTTCAAACAAACAGGTTCATTATTGTTTTTTTATTATTGTTATATATAGATTTCAACAAGCGCAAGCATGTTTCCAACACAAAAAAAATAATATTCATCTCTTGATTTTCAATAATATTTCTCAACTATTCCTTAGGCCATGATCCAATACGCCTGCGGCGACGTGTTTTGTTTTCTCTAGTTGTTCAAACTCTCTGCGTCTCTCTCGGTGATTGTCGCAATACTTTTTTTGGTTCTCGAAATATTCGATTTATTTATAAATATTGACGCAACAATTCCAACCCTTATTGATTTTTGGTTCACTAGTTTTTAGCTTTTGCCGTTCGCTGCGGTTTCAAATTACAACTATTTTCTAGTTTTTCACGCCTCAATGATCTTGAAAAAAATCTTATTATATATAATTTTTGATCATCATTGCTCATGTTTTAAAATATTGTTTTTTATCAACACCGAAAATAATCATTTTTCTGAATCTGTTATCATTGAGCCATCCGCCGCCCACTGAAAACATTTTTGTATGAAAGGAAAAAGGCGGAGACTTTCACAAAATGCCCTTTCCTTTCACACAAAGTCTGCTCAATTGAATTTTTTTGTGTCACATTTTTTGTTCATTCTCTTGCAAATTCCCGATTTATTGAACCCTTCACCCTGATCTCATTGTTTTTGTTTTGATGAACACATATATGAATAATCTAATTTCCGTTTTTTTTTCTTCTCACCAACTATATCATTGTGTGTTTTTCTCAACTTTTTTTCGTAAGATTTATGTGAAATAATATACAGAAAAATCGAATTGGGGAATCGAATAAATGCCACGTCGTAAGGCAGTCGATGGTGCGCCGCCGGCGCCAAAAGCGCCCCGATCTAGAAAGAAGAAAGTGAATCCAGAGGAGAACAAACCACCAGATGCATATGATCCATCAATGATGCATCCGAATGGTTATATGGATGGACCACCGCCGCACGGAATGGAAGGAAGTGCCGGCGGATATGGTCCACCATATGGTGATTATGGTGCAGCTCCGCCATATCATCCAAGTTATGGTGCACCTCCACCATTTGGAAGCCCCGAACCTGCCAATAGTCCATATATAATGCCGCAACAATCAAATACACCTCAACCACAAATGATGTGAGCAATATTGATGTTTTTTTTTCAGCAAAACAATGAACAAAATATGCAGTTTTTCCCCTAATCCCATAATCCTGAGGGTCCCCAGCAGAAAATCTTGTTGTTTTTTTTTCAATCATATATTTTACAGTATGCGACCAATGCCTCCACCACAACAACACACACCAAATCAATTAGGACCAGCGCCAAGTGCGCTCGAGTTCAGGATACATGAGATGAATCGACGATTGTACATTTTTAGCTCAACAGGGGTGAGTTGCTCATATTAATAATAGAGTGTAGTTTGGTGTTCGAAAAAGGATTTATAATTTTTGAGATCTTATTTATCGTAATTTTTTTTCGCCAAATTTCACCCCGGGAACTTGAAAAATTCGAATTTCAATGAAAATTATTTTTGATCTACAAAAAATTTTGAATAAATTTTGATCTACGAAAATTTTAAATTAATTTTGTCTGCAGTACATAATACCTAGAAATTGATTTTGATCTACAGTACATAATACCTAGATGTTAAAAAAATCAATCAATAATTTAAATAATTTTTTTGCAGATTTCGGAAAGCGATCATCAACAATGGTGGGATGCGTTTTCACACGAATTTTTCGACGACGATTGTAAACTGTGGTTTGTGATTGGCGACGATGCGACACCAATTCAAGAGCGAGAGAAATATTGTGAGTTTTTTTTTTGGAAAATATCTGGTTTTGAATCTGGGATTTTTTTGAGCTCGTATTTTTGAACTACAAAATTAACTAGATTTGGACTAACTTCTGTCATTCTGTATCCGAAATCTCAAAAATTCCAGCTGAAATCAAATCTAGAATAACCTTTTAACATTCCATTTTTCCAGGTGTTGGACGAAATACGGTACCCCGTTTCTTCCGATCAATTTTCGACAGCGGAATGCGCGAATTACTCTATGTGCTACGCGGTCCATCGCGAGAATGCCAATCGCCCGGCGGTTTTCCCGCATATGAAAATGAAAGTGTGTTGCAAGTGACGAAATTCGATTCACCAGCTCATACCGAGGTTTGTATCGCTTTCTTTTTTTCTGCTGAAATTTTATTCTCACACTCATACACACACAAGTTTTCACACACAGTTTTGCTCCCTCCCTCCAAATAATTATAGACCTGACATGCTGAAGAGTTGATTTTTTGATACACCGTGAGAAAAGATCTGACGCTTTTTGTGATTTTGAGATTTTTTTTTCTTCGCATACCCGAATTGTTTTTTCAACTGATTGAAGATTTAGTAGTTTCAATATTTATTTGAATTGAATCCCAATGAAATGATATTTTTTCAGATCAACACAGAATGTAGGTTATATGTTGAATTTACACCATACGACGAGGTGCTGAATTACCGAATTCGAGCATGGACGTTGGAAATGAAACAATGTGACGAGTTTATTTATAGTGATATTAAACAGGTTGGTTTTTGCCGGGAAAGATTTTGAAATGAGCCTAGGGAATCAGACACGATTCCGTGGATGTTTCAAATTATACCAGGGTGGCGTTTCCCATAGGGCCAGGTTTAACTTTTTTGTAAAATGAGGCATAAAAATATTGCTCTTCCAAAAAATAGTCCTATCAGATTTCCCCTAAAATCAAAAAAGTACTGTATTTCTGCGTTGTAACAATCCAAAATTGAATTTTGTGTAATGTACAGTATTCTTTCTTGCTCTGGATGTAACATTGATAATAGTTTTTTTTTTTTGAAAAACCATCTTCCGATTTCATATTTTCCAACGAAAATTTTCAAACAAATAAAAAATTCTGTTGTTTCAAAAAAAGTGGAATTTTTTCATGCATTTGAAATTATTCAACGCGTTTTTTGTAGTCTAGAATAGAATAGAATAGCTAACCAAAAACTATTCCCATTCCCATAAAATAATGTGGTATTTGCAAATATCCCGTGGGACCATGTTGTCTTCACTAATAGATGTTTATGATTATATGGGGCTCCACCAAAAATAGAAGAAGAAGAAGGAAACAAGTTGTTTGTTTCTCTAGTCGTTATATTTTCTTGTTGTCTCCAGCTCCACGTAATGAGTTGAAATAGTGTGCAAAAGTTGGAGAGTATCTCTTGCTTTTTCTTTTTCTTATTTTTTTTTTCGAAGAAGAAAAAAGAAAAAGCCAAAACGACGACTACTAGTAGTACTGATGTGTTTTGTTTTCTCTAGTCACGTCTTGCTATTTTTTTCGTGAAGACATAAGGGGTGAAAAAAAAAGATAGAATTTGCATTTCACATTTCACATCTCACATCAAGAAGGAAAAAGTATAACATAAAATAAAATAGAATAAAATGATCATAAAAAGGCGAAGCAACAAAATGTTTATTCTAGCTTTTCTCGAAGAAAAGAAAAAGCATTTACGCTTCAATAAGATTCAACTTTTTTCTTCTGCTTTGTGAACGAATTGTTTTTCATGGAATAAGGGGTCAGAGTTTTGAAACTTGATGTTTTTGGAACGAAAAAAATTGTTTGAACAGATGCATTTGATCAGCTTTTTTGTCAGATGAAACAAACAGAAACGTGTGAATTTTGAAACAGCAAATTTTGACTAGAAAATATTTTGGAATAGGGAGACAATACAAAAATTCGCGCATATAAGAAGATCAACATTTTTGAACCGATCGCTTTTGTGAACATTTTTTAACCTGATGAATAACATAGCGAAAATTTAATTTCCTGAAACCTTAGTTAATTCAAAAAAACTTTCAGAAAATTTGGCGATCTAAATTTTCTGAAGTTAATTTTGCCGCAAATTTGAGGATCAAAAAATCATTTTTAAAAGTAGTGATTCTTCTGGAATCTTTTATTATTAGATTTGATAAGCCTCTTGGCGAGGATTAAAAAAACATGAAATTGTTTCAACAAAAAAAAAACTCGAGTTTTTTAGAGTAAAATTCAGCGGAAAGATACAAAATCAATAAATTTTCAAAATGAAAATAATATTCTTCAAAATTTGAAACACTGTAGAACTTTTTTTTTCAAAAAATCTCAAATTATTAGATATCAAAAATCAATAATATTTTTTTTTCCAGGAATATGAGCGAATCGATGGCGGAAATCCAGATCGACGACAAAGCACAAAAATGGGCTTTTTCAAAAACACAGTCTCCCTAATGTCCCTCGCTCGAATTCTTGAACCAATGCAAATGATTATGAGCAGTGCAAAATCGAATGGAATAAGTGTAAGTCAGAACAAAACATGAATCACCTTTCAATAATAATTTCAATTTTCATTTTGATTAAAAATAGAGTACACCACAACTCTTAATGAGTTTTTGTTAGTTGTTATTTTTCATTCCCTCACAAAAAAAAACCATTTTTCTTCATCAATTCTTCGTTTTTTTTCTCCCATTTCATCTCAATCTAATTAGTATACCTTTCTTGATTTTTCCATTTGTGCGCGCTAATTGGATGATATTTTTTTGGCGAGGGAATTGAAATAGTGCAGCGGATTGAGAGGTGACAAAGATTTGTCATTTTGTCGCAAGTGAATAAGCTCATTTATTCCGATTCTCACTTGGCTGTTCAGCTAACTAACTCCTATTATTACTATTATCAATTTCTATCAAAAGCAATTGAGCGATTTTCTTTGAAAAAAGGAAAAGAACACTTTGATAATGTGGCCCAGTTATACAAATAAAATGAATAATTTGAATGAATTGCTTGGTTTACAGTGGGGTTCCGATCCGCGAGATTTGATGAAACGAACATTATTCTATCACTACAATGAGACTCAACGCAAAAATGCTGAAGCTGTGCGACAACAAATGAGTGAGTTTTTTTGGGGGGGTTTTTTCATAAAGTTCAAAAATTTCTTGACAATTATATTCTCTAAGCCCAGCTACTTGAGAAATAGCGTTTCTAGGCTCGGCTATTTGGCATTTTAGCTCTCCCTTATGAGCTTTACAAAAAAATTTGATATTAGAAATCTAGAAATTGCAGAAAAAAGCCAAGGAAAAAATTGATCTCAAAGATCAAAAAATTATATTATAATAAAACTCATTAACTAAAAGTCCCAGGAAAGGAAAAAAAAACTTTGTTACTACAATTTCCGCCGCCAATTTTTTTCTCGTTCACGAATAATTGAGAAAGTCTAACTTTTTTCTATATTATACTTTCATTAGATTTGCACTTTACTTTCGTATAGCTGATTTTTTCTCATTATTTTCTTGCCACTTTCTTTTTGATGTTGGAATTTAATGAAAAGCTTAACGACTATCTATAGAAAATTGCTTTTTTTTCTAATCTAATCCCTTATGATTGCGAAAATATATGAATAATAGGCATTAGTTCTAGAATTTTTAGCTCATTTTGGATTATAATGAGATTTGTTCTTATAATCGCACATTCTTTGACGCTGTTACAATTTTTTGACTTGACTTGTGTTAAAAAATATTATTCTCTAGGATACGATAGAATACAAATCTAACAAACTTGTTTTTCGTTTCCTCTTCATTTTTTTCCATAATAATTATTACTAGATTTCTCCAAATAGATTTGTTGTTGTTTTTGGTTTGTTAATAATTAACTTTCTGACCATACCAGTTTTACCAAGGGATTTGCAAATCAAAAAACATTGAAAAAAAAACAAACCGAATTTCAGGTGCACCAACAATGATAATGCCACCAGCGGAGCCAGAAAAACCAAAACCGGTTAGAAAACGTCAACGAAAGCCGGCAGCAAATGCGAAAGCTAAGAAAACAGCAGCAGCAAATGCGGCAGCTGCTGCAGCAGCCAACGCAAGTCCAGCACCATCTGCGCAACAATATCAGCCAAATCCAATGGCGCAATCGGTAAGTTAACAGTACATGATATCTGGGGAAGAAATTAGCGCGTGCCAGGGAAAAAATATGACTTTTTTTAAAGAATTTTTCTGAAGAATGTTTTTTTCCAATAATCTGTCTACCAAAAATCAAAAAACAATTTTTCAAGAACTTCCAAAGAGTCCACCAGTTCTAACTAATTAGTACAAATTCCCAAATTTGTTTTTCTTTGCAGTTTTCCGCGATGGGTTACCAAGATGTGATGGTTGTTGGCGAGCCATCGATGATGGGTGGCGATTTTGGCGACGAAGATGAGCGAACAATCTCACGCGTCGAAAACACCCAATACGATCCAAACGCAATTCAAATGCATCAAATGAATCAAGGCCCACCGCCACAACAAATGAACGGACCACCAGGTGGAATGGGTGGACCAATGGGACCGCCACAAAATCAAATGGGCGGCGGTATTATGGGTCAATCGATTGGCGGAATGCCGCCACCTATGACCAATCAAATGGTTCCACCAATGCATCAGATGCCGATGAATGCGGCGATGCTTGGCGGAGGTGTTCCGATGCCAAATGGAATGCCAAATCAGATGCCGAATGGAATGCAACCCGGGTACTCTTTTCAACCACAACAACAATGGCAACAGCCCCCAAATTCAGCTATGATTACAGGATAAATTAAAGGTAGGTGTGAATAAACTTGAAGATTCCTGATCTATTTTTATGTTTTTTTTTCAGATTCTTCTAATCCCAGTGATATTCAAACACAAATTAGCCGCATTTAATGCAATAAAACCAATACAACAACGATATCATGACAGGCGTTCAAAATATTTTTTCTTCCAATTTTTTTTCTTCCCCGTTTTTTTTTTAAATCTACCTATCCTTTCTTTTCTTGTAAGCCTAAGCCCAAAATCAACAAACATTTTTCTAGTGTCATTTAAACAACGAATATTTTTCCAATCAAAATTTCTTTTCTTGATAAGTCAAAATGTATATAATTACTTCCTTCTCATTTTTGCTTTTGAAATTCGATGGCAATACATTTTTTAGTTTTTGTTTTTTGGCTCATCCTTATAGTTTAGACTTTATTGATTTTTTTCATTCTCTTGTTTACACACAACATTTTCGTTTTGGGTCTTTTTTATTTTGTGATTTTACCTCCAGACTTCTGTAAAATGCAACTTACTATAAGTATACCAAAACAAGAATTCATACCGATTCTCTATTTTTCACAATTGTCAGATATGTTTTTCTTTTTTTCTTTTTTTCTTCTCAATTTCGATTGTTGAAGATCTCACAATTTCAATTTTTGGCTTTTCATTGTTTTTTTTGTCAAAATTTTAATTTAAAACTTATTATGAATATGAACTTTGAAAATTATTTGGTTTTGTTTTTATGAAGCAGGAAAAGTGAATCATCGATATGAATCATCGAATGAGTTCGGGAATTAATCAAACAAAATGAAAAAAAAAATTTTGACCACTGAGCGGATCGAACGCCCAACCTTTCGATCTGGAGTCGAACGCGCTACCATTGCGCCAAGCAGTCATCGAGAAGAACAACACTCGTTTCCCTACAAATAAAACACTCTTCAAACCTTCGCAATCAGTTTGTTTGATAAAGTTTGTGTTGAACTGAAACTAGTTTTATAGAAAAAAAAGTGATTTGAGAAAAAATTCGTTTATAATAATTGGTATTTTTTGGGATACAACTACATAATTATTGTTATCCCCTTTTTCATTTTTTCATGGTTTAGTTAAACTTTATACGAAATTTAATTTTCTCATCGTCTTTTTTCTTTTCTTCGCATTTTTTACTTAAAAATGAAAAAATAAAAAAATTTTGACCACTGAGCGGATCGAACGCCCAACCTTTCGATCTGGAGTCGAACGCGCTACCATTGCGCCAAGCAGTCGACATATAAACCACTCTTCAATTGCATACTTATAGTTTGACCCTTTGCAAAGATACAATCACATTGTTTGATAAAATTTGTGTTACGTACTAGTCTTACAGCAACAATTATTAGGTTCAAGATATTTCTATTTTGAGATGATATGGTAAACCAATTATGAATAATCAAAGGGGAATATTTGATGATTTGATGGAATTTTTCTTTATTCATGAAAGGTTATTAAAGAATATGAAAATAAAAAACGAAAATAAAGTTTTTCAAGCTAATTGAAATTAACCACACTCAAATGTTTTGATTTTTCATATATTTTTTGCTCATGATAATAAAAACCAAAAAAGGTAACACTCTGAAGAAAAAAACCCTGGAGAAAAAAACCGTTGTTCCCTTCCCTCTTCAGCAAAAAATAAAGAGCGGAGAATGTGCGCTCTGATGATAACGCATGCAAGGGGGATGTTTTTGGGTTTTCAAATGCTAGAGTCATGGTTTTTTTTTGTTTTGTCGTCGTTTTTTTAGTTTTTCTTTTGGAAATTTTGATTTTGCTACACCCATTCCCAAAGATAACAAGCAATTACTAATCAGCTTATTACATATTAGATCTTCCAGAATTTCAAATCCTTTTTTTTCGAACCAAATTTCATGATTTCAGTCTTGAATTGATTGGAATTCATTTGTTGAGAATCGTTAGAATACTTTCTTAAGAAAATATCATTTTTTAACCAATTTTTTTTCAGTTACGTATTTGTAAAGCTGGAAGATCTTCCAGGTTTTCAAATCCTTTTTTTCCAACCAAATTTCATGATTTCAGACTTTGTTATTCTTTGAACGTCATGTTTTCATTTTTTACCGCTGGATGATTCAAATTTTCATATTTTTTCAGAATTGGTAACATGCACGCAGAAGTTGTTTCGTCAATCAACACCCAATCAACATATATAATGAAGATTTTATGGAGGATGTCGAGAATCGATGATTCAGATGTTGATGAAGATTCGGAAAAGTGCAATATTCCGAAAATGAAGTGTTTTCGATTTGTGGAAAAATCTAAGACGAATCGTGAGTTGGGTTAACTTTTTGGGATAAAACACAAAGTTTTGGAATAATTGTTCAAAATCTAGTCAGAACAGAATTCTGTTTCGGTTTATTAATTTTAAAAAATGTTGAATTTAAATCTCATTATTCCAGGTACGGGCCCTTCCTAACGGCCAGAAATGCTACTTCAACGATTAATAATGATGGATGTTTTTAATAAAATACAAGCCAGTTCCATCAAGATTGTGAAGTTTTAATGGAAGATGGAAGAATTATTGATGAAGACCCAGAAAAGTGCAATATTCCGAAAATATTTTGGTGAAGTGTTTTCGATTTGGGGAAGAAACTGAGGCTAATGGTGAGTTGGGTAAAATTTTGGTATAAAAAATGATTTTTTTTTAAACTTTCTCCAAATCTTATTTGAAAAACACAAAGTTCTGGAATAATTTTTTGGAATCCAGTCAAAACATAACTTTTTTCTGGATTCTCCATTGAAAAACTATGGTCTTATTATTTCAGATACGAGCCTTTCCCAACGGCCAGAAATGCTACATCAACAAGCGAATTGGCAATGATTTACTAGAAAGTGAGAAACGGGAAGGAATATTGTCATGTAAGATATTTGAGGTCAGTTTTTTTATATGCGAAAATTGATGGTGCGTTTGAAATAGTCAAACTTCTGAAATTGTTTAATTCAACATAATTACTTCAGTGTCGAACCCAATGGCCAAAAATGCTACTTCAACAACCGAATTGGCATTGGTATCAAAACGATTTGTTGGAATATTAGAAAGTGAGAAACGACAAGAGACAGCGGGTCAGTTGTTTTTGTCTGAAAATTGATAGTGCGTTTGAAATAGTAAAACTTCTGAAATGTTTTACCATTCCAACGTTCCCCTCTTTCTTGAAAAATATTCAACAAAAATTCAAGCAATGATAAATATTTACAGAACTCGACACGAACACTTTGCTCAAATCTATCGCAATTGGATTAAAGAAGGAAAAATACCGCCATGGACAATGCTTTACTAGAAAGTGAGAAACGACAAGAGACAGCGGTAATGCACGTCATTTCGAAGAAAATATTAAGGTCAGTTGTTTTTGTCTGAAAATTGATGGTGCGTTTGAAATAGTGAAACTCATAAAATGTTTTACCATTCCAACCTTACCCTCAATCCTGAGAAATTTTCAACAAAAATTCAAGTAATAATGATTATTTACAGAATTTGACAACAACACTTTGCTCAAGTCAATCGCAAATGGATTCTACAAGAGGAAAAATTTTGCCATGGGCTTTACTAGAAAGTGAGAAACGACAAGAGACAGTGGCAGGGCACATCATTGCGAAGAACATTTTAAGGTCAGTTGTTTTTGTCTGAAAGTCGATGGTGTGTTTGAAATAGTGAAACTCATAAAATGTTTTACCATTTCAACCTTGCCCTCAATCCTGAAAAATATTCAACGAATATTCAAGCAATGAAGACTATTTACAGAAAAATATAATATTTGACAACAACACTTTGCCCAAATCTATCGCAAGGAAGGAACATATCGCCATGCACAACAATTTATTGGAAAGTGAAAAACGATTCTAACGATGAAAAATCAACAAAAACTCTTATCGTTCTCGAAGTTAATGGAAGATCAGATTCAATGTAATTTTAAAGTTTTCTGACCTTTTATTGATTTTTCTGTTATTTTCGGAATTCTGTAATCATAAATTTTTTTTTTCAAAAAGTGCGGTTCTTTCTCAAATATAAAATTTCAAAAAATCAAGAAGAACGGTAATTTCAGGCGGAAATATGTTACTCAAAAACTAGATCAAAGCTTAAAAACATTTGAAAAGAAGCATATTTTAATTTTAAAAAAACTCAAATAAAAAATTCTAGCCATCACCAAATCTACTCGGTTAAAGTGGTGCGCCATTTGGGGCGACGTCGCACGCTAAATTTGACAAAAAATTTTGATGCGACGTTGCCCGAAACAGCGCCTCATTTTATGCGCTATTTGGGGCGACGGTGCGCATTCCGGCGCTATTTCGGGCGATGGCGCATTCGTACTACGGTAGGAAACAAAGTGTGCAAACATTTTATATGACGCGCACCCTTTTATTTTTCTTTTTTTTTGGGCGGCCTCTTTTTTGTTTGTGTTTTTCGAGGGTTTTCACTATTTTTTGAAAAGAAATTGTAGTAAAATGATGAAAACCACTTTTATTTTATCTTTTTCTATGTTATTTTCTGCCGAATAAGTAGAAATCTCGGCTCTATCAAGGGGAAAATGATTTTCAAAAAGTTTTGTCATTTTTCGATGTATTTTTTCAAGCCGAAATATTTTAACTGTAAGTATTTAGATTTAAGAGAAATTATCAGTTAAATTCTTGATACTAAAGTTAGTTTTTGGTTTTCTTTTTGACCCAATGACATATTCCTACTCGTATGGCTTGTTTCTGCGATTAGAAAGTTTTCAGATAACCGTAATCAGAAGTACGACGATAAAAAACAATACAACATATGGTGGCGTCACAAAAATCGTTTTTTGTTTTGCGCGCTCCTCACAATCAGGTTTGATTTTTATGTATTGTCTTTCGAAAATTCAAAAAAAAAACCGTTGGTTAAATGATTGATTTTAGATTGGAACAATCGAAAAATCATTATCAACATCGAGACGGTCGAAATATAAGAAGACATTTTGCTGAAGCGATCTCTAGTGATTGGAGACAGGCCAATCGACTAGGAAAACAAGAGATGGTAAGTGCTTTTCGATATGAATCTCGAAATACAGACAATCAAATACGTAAAAAAATAGAGAACCAGCTGATCTGGCATACCTTCATGCCGAATATCAAAATTTGACGAGAATTTGAATATCAAAATTTGATTAAGTTTTGAATTTTTCATGAAAAATTGGCAGTAGTTTTCGAGCTGAAATACATGAAATTCATGGTTTTCATCTCGAAAACTAGCAAAACCGTGGTTTTTCTCTCGAAAATCCCTGAAAATCGCGATTTTCCAGCTGAAAATTGTGATTTCCAAGGATTTTGGGCAGAAAATCTGAAATTTGGCTTGAATTTTGAAAGTTTGTCTTGAAATTCACGTTTTTGGAAGAAATCGGTTACTAACATTAAGACTGAGCCTAAGCCTGAAGTGATGTTGAAATTTTGAGATAATTCTTAACTGTCAACATCATGTTCAAGTTTAGACTTAGGCTTAGCAAACCCCCTAGAAAGTTGCGATTTGTCCCGGAAAAACATGAATTCCAAGAAAATTTTCAAATTTCAAGCCGATTTTCAGATTTTCTGCCCAAAATCCTTGGAAATCACAATTTTTAGCTGAGAAATCGTGATGTTCAAGGATTTTCAGCCAAAAAGCTGAAAGTTTCAGCCAAAATCTGGAATTTCAGCCCAAAATTAAGAAAATTTGGAATTTACAGCTTTTCCTTGACCCGGAACCTTGAATTTTCAAATTTCAAGGTTTCGAGCGAGGGAAAAGCTGAATTTTCAGCCAAATTTCTAGAAAAATCTAAGTTTTGGGCCAAATTACGCCGAATTTTTCGAAAAAATCTGTAATTCCGGGTCCTGAGTCCGGTTTTCAACAAAAATCGGAATTTTTGACAAAAAATTGGGAAAAATTTGAAATTTCAGCCAAATTTCTAGAAAAATTCAAATTTTGGGCCACATTTCAATAAAAAGGCCAAATTTTTTGAAAAAGTCTGTCATTTTGGGCCCTGCGTCTGAAATTCATCAAAAAAAGCCCAAATGTCGGGCTCTCTAGGCTAAATTTTGAGAAAAAGCCCAGATTTCAGGCCTTAAATCAGAAATCTAAGGATTCAGGCCTGAAAATTAAGAAAAAGCCCAAAACTCAAGAAAATATCAATTTTCAACCAAAAATTCCCAAAATTTATCAAATTTCAATTTTTTTTTCCAGAAATTGGCAATATTCGAGCAAAAAATTGACAATTCGAGGATAAAAAGGTCAGTTTTTTTTCGAATTTTCATAAAAATATCAAAATTTCGCGGCATTTTAAGTTTAGCAAAGTTTCTTGATTTTTAGGCTTAGGCTTAGTTAGAGCTTAGGAAAAACTGCAAAATTTTCAAGAAACTCGCGCGGTTTTTGTTTTTGAAACATCTCGCTCTGAAAATCGGCTTACGGAAACATTTCGACCTGTAGTTCCAGATTCTGAAATGTTTCACACCAAGCCTGTTTCTGGGTTGCTGACCATTTAACTTTTTTTCGAACATTTTCGCAAAAATAGTGGACACGTTTTTGTTAACTTATCCTCAATTTTCTTTCATTTCGAAATGTATTCAAAAATGAGCACCGAGTTTGAAGCACGAATCAACAAAGCTCAAATTAGTTCTATTATTAGAAAATTAGCCTAGATGAGCCGAGTTTTACTAAAATTATTAGAGTATAGGAAGATTATGAAAGTTCATATCTTACAATTCGCAGATGTGTTTCGCTATGTTTTTTACCAATATGTACCTACATTTGAATATCATTTTTCAGATTTCCTCCAATGCGACACAAGATATTCAATCAACAACAAGCTGCCGCGGAGCCAAAAATGATAATTATTATTATAACTTCTGTATTTAGAGTAAATAAATATCATTGTTTCAATATATGATGTTACTTTAGTATTCAATTCAGCTTTTCTAGCGCTTATCGAGCTTTTTCTGGTCCAAAAACGCTTTTTGAAAGGTTTGCTGCGCTATTTCGAGCGACGGTGCGTCAATTGATGCACTATTTCGGGCGACGGCGCGTCGTTCCGATGCGCCATTTCGGGCAACGGCGCATCATCTGAGGCGCTGTTTCGGGCGACGGCGCCCGGCTGTTTGATGCGCCTATCGCCCCAGATGGTAGCAACAGCGCCCCAGAAGTCAGCAAATGGCGCATCACTTTATCCGAGTAGTCGCGTATTTTATACAGAACAAGATGATCAAAAAACTTTCTTCTATTTCACAAAAGCTCAAATCGATGATATTATTAGGATAATGATGACAGAAACATACTTTTGGAGAGGGCCATGTTTCCAAACCAAAATTTTGGTTTGGAGACGGTCACGTTAGAAAGAGAAAATTTAGTTTGCTCGAAGACCCAAACACCCTAAATGCACTTTTCCCAAACACCCTAACAAGGGAACCTTTTCAACTTTTCCTTTAGTTTTTTGATCAAATATATGTATGTTTCCTAGTAGTTTTTGACCCGCTAATCACAATTTCGCGGCAAAATTCTCAACTTCTAACATGAGTTATAACGGGACAAAATATATTGGTTCGAATATAGGTCTCCTTCCTCTCACTAATTTTCTCTCCATCTCCCAATTTTTCACACTCTCTCATCTACCCCATTTCTCTCACTCGCTCTTCTTCTCTTCATGTTTCCATTCATTTTTTTCATATGTAGGTATGTAAAGGTGTCCTTACTATTTTTCTTATTTTTAGCGCGTAGGCTTCATTTAGATTCTATTAGGGGTGTAAAAAAAGAGTGTTCGGGTGCCGGAATACCCTATTTTGTATGCACACGAATATACACTTTCACCCGAACACACTGTTTTCTGTGTATGTGTGTATTTTCACATTAAAAGTGTGCTTGTGTGTGAGAATAGGGTGTTCGGGTGAACTATTTACAGCCCTAGATTTTATAATTAATACGGCATTACTGATGATACCTACCTCTTCGCCGACTCATGTTAAGGTTAAAACGGATTCCCCTTTTCAACAGAAAATCTAATACATATTATAGAAAGAATCGTTGAAGTGCGATCTGATGATCACGTATGCGATATTAAATTTTGCATTCTCAAATACTAGAGTCATTTTTGATTTTTTGACAAAACAACTCGTTTACTTTTTGTTTTTTTTTTGTTCCTTTTCTTGGAGGTTTTGACTTTGTCCCCCCTCCCTCGTAAGATGATGTAACGGATGGGGCAAACGCGCTCTTTTGATAATTCATGCGAGATACTCTGGAATTTTTACTCGTTGAAGAATTTTTCGTATTCATTTTTTTCATATATCATGACATTGGTGTTTTATTCATTCTCTGTTCAAAACACTTTTCTAATTATTTATCTCGCCGGTTTGTTTCTAGATGAAAACCGAGCTTTTTTGTTTTTTGAATACTATTTTTTCAGAATCTTGGGAAATTGCCAAGAAAACTGAAAAAATGGACAACCATCGAACCGCAAATGAATCGACTGGTTCTTCGGTACAGAATCAGGCTGATAGAAACTCGAAATTTGTAACAAATGGAGAATTTTTGTATATGAATAAATATATGGACGACGTTTTGGACCAAAATGGTGAAACTGGTGGACTTTATCATATGGAAATGAGAATAAAAGAGGATTTTCCCACAATTTCCGCCAGAACTCTGGCATTGTGCGTTGATTCAATGGCTAGAAAATGTTTATCCTATGTAGATGGTAACAAGTTTTTCACACCGATGGATTTTACGTGAGTTGGGTTAGATTTTGGTGTTTTCATCAAAGTTCTCTTAGTTCTATTTCAAAAATTGATAAAAATATTTTTTCAAAGCAAAATTTGATATAAAGCTTGGAAATCTAGCCAAATTTTTTACAAAGTAATTGGCATTAATCTTCGAAAACAAAATCATGTATTTTCAGTTGAAAACAATTCAAACTTAATTTCCTATTTTTTTCAGATTCATTCATCCCAGCCTCCCTGGCGGTCAAAAAATGTTTGCCAACACAACGTATACTATGGTGCTCACAAGTTTTATCAGCCATGAATTGTCAATGCTGAAAGAATCGATTCCCGATTTTCAATTCGATCACTCCTTGAAAGTTCGCGTCTATTGTGCATCACTTTATAAGGTCTGTTGTTTTTGTCTGAAAATCGATGGTGACTTTGAAATAGTAAATCTTCTGAAGTTATTTACTATTCAAAAACTTTCCTTTTTGAAAAATCTTCAAACAAAAATCAAATGATAATTATTTGCAGAGATATGTTATTGGAGATCAAAACACAATGCTGAAAGCAATTGCAATAGCATTTCACAATTATTCGGCAAAAACTCGCAACACGGTCATGGATGAGGATCAACAAGAAGCAGCAGTTATGAATTTGAAAGACACCTTCAAAATTCAAGAGACACATTCATTGTCAAAAATTTCCAAACTCATGGACTTCCAATTTTTTGTTTTTAAAAAAAATGGAGAGAAATGGATATACAACCAAGGAAAATCAAAAACACTCATGCTCATTGAAGTGGATGGAATTTTCGATGTTCACTTCTGATTGATGTGATTTTTACAAATGCCGTGAAATTTGTGTTTTTTATTAAATATAAAAGTACTGAAATTATAAAAGAGTCCAGCAGAAATAAATGTAGAACTGAACAATGACTACTCAAAAAACCAAGAATTCCGGGCGGATTGAAACAGTGTTGTTAAAAAATCCCACTATTTTAAGTTGAAATCATTTCTTCCTGAAAATAAAGAAAAGAAAAAAAAAGATTTGACCACTGAGCGGATCGAACGCCCAACCTTTCGATCTGGAGTCGAACGCGCTACCATTGCGCCAAGCAGTCATCGAGAGAAACAACACTCGTTTCCCTACAAATAAAACACTATTCAAACCTTTGCAATCAGTTTGTTTGATAAAATTTGTGTTGAACTGAAACTAGTTTTACAGACAAGAGTAATAAAAGTAAAAGAAAAAATTCGTTTATAATAATCGTTATTTTTGTGATACAACTACATAATTATTATTTTTCTCTTGGGATAAAAGTGAGATTATTTGAATTTCGTCAGCGTCAACGATTTTTTTCACAAACAGAACTCTTATTTATGAAAAAAGTTTACAACTCGAAAATTTTGAATTTTTTTCATTTTTCAATTGTTTAGTCAAACCGCATACCAAATTTATTTCTCTCATAGTTCTTTTCATTCACCAAAATCCCACTATTTTTAAATTAAAATCGTTTCTCCCTGAAAATGAAAGAAAAAAGAAAAAAATTTTGACCACTGAGCGGATCGAACGCCCAACCTTTCGATCTGGAGTCGAACGCGCTACCATTGCGCCAAGCAGTCATCGAGAAGAACAACACTCGTTTCCCAACATATGTAACCAACTTGTGCCTATCTTTCTATCTCTCACTCTTCTCTCTTCTTTTCTCTGTTCTCTTTTTTTCTTCTATTTTTTTTCAATTATTTGGCACTTTCATGTGTTAAATATAAATAGATAGATAGATAGATGTATATATTTATTAAATCTGTTAAATAATTGTTGTGAAGGGAAAAAAATATGGGACAGGAATAGGAAAGATTACACGATGAATGGGATACACAGTCAGTTTTTAGATACAGGTTGAACTTGTTAAAAAAACAAAGGAGATCTGTAAACATTATGAAAAAAAACATTGAAATTACACGTGTTCAGAAACAGTTTGATTATCTACATGGTTATAATTGAGTTTCAAATTCTCGTCGTAGATTCTGAACACGTATCGAGCGTCAGATAGAGAAATGATTATAACTTTCGATTGATGTGATTGTTTTAGGGCTTATTGGTGGATTCTCACTTGAATTGGAAAAAGTTCGAGAAGTTTTGCGAAGTAATAATTGAATATACGTTTTCAAATGATTGGTGAAAGCAATGAACACGAAAGCGTTGACAGAGGCAGAAATCATACTCAAAACATCCGATAAATGTGATTGATAATAATCTCTTCTGAAAAAAAAATAAATTTGTAAGCAAACAAAAACAATAAGGATAGAGATCTAACATCAGTTCCAAGAAAAATATGGGCTAATCCCAAACAAAGAAAATATTTCTCAAATTACCTCGTTGGGCATCCGCTTGTCAAAAGCAATTGCCATTTTCTTCCCATTGAATACAATTTCAATGAATGGAAACATAAATACAATAAAATGATAACAACAATCAAAAATGTTGCTCGAATTTCTTGTTTTTGTCGGAGGAGTTCTGCTTTTTTGGGGAAACATCCAGCCAATGGATGACTTGAACTTGATGGACGATGTTCACGACTACTATAAGATAAATTTTGATAGGTGTTGAATCGACTGCGATAGATTTCTGCCAATGTCATCAATGAGAAATAACACATAATCAAAAATGGGATAACGTTGATTACAAGTGGATCAAGAATAGAATGGTAGATGAATCGATACTTGTTCATCACCTGGAAAAGGGATGGTTTAAGAAGAATATTTGAAGGTAGTCGACAACTTATTTTATTATCCTGATCTTGGAACCAGTAGATAATCTGATTCCACAGAAATGGGAACATTTTTTTCCAAAATAACACAAAATTTATCTTTTTAAGTTAAACTAACTCTCTAATATCTATCAATGACCTAAAGTTATCAGAATCAATTCTTTTTCCCAAGAATAACATTTTTTCAAAATATCTTATTTAAATATTCCTTCGGGCATTTTTTACTATACTCTTTTTTCTATTTGTTTACTGGTAAACATTCCAAAATTTTTTTTGCAAAAAATTTGCAATCCACCCACAATCTTCTTTTTTTTTTGATTTTTCGATCCTAAATGTTTTCATTTCCACCAGACAGCAATAGCCCTTTCAATTGTTATTGTTATTGTTGAAAAAAAAAACTACAGCTATCTGGGAAAAAGTGCAAAATGGAGAGAAAATAAAACAAAAACTCGTGGAAATGTTGAAACAACCTTTTGCTGTCTGATTGTTTTTCATAGAAAACTTTGTCAATATTTTTCTGTTTTTCTATACATACATGAATATTTGGTTACTACTTACTTGTGTTGCTGCTCGTCGATGTATGATTTGGAATTTTGGTTTGAAACGAAGTTCCAATTCGATCAAAAAGTTTGGCATCTGATAGATGAAGACGATTGAGAGCATGATGAATAGAAGTGTGTGAGCAAGACTCACAGTGTCTCGAAGTCTTGAAATAACAGGGCGAGATATTTTCCAATATCTATGCGCTGATAGTGCAGCAATCGTCCAAACATGCCAAGTGCTAATCAAGCTCTCAATTCTGGAAAAAAATAATTTAGGATTTTTTTTCAGTTTTCATATTTATAAGTAGTAGAAACTGATCTAGTAACTGGAGAAAAACTTACTTCGGCATTGGGTATCTCATAAAACGCCGATGAAGATGACAAACTCCAAAAAATGTGTGAGACGGATCATATTGTGTGTCACAAATTTGAGGAATCATATGTTTAGCAAGAGTGCTGATCAACATGAGATGATCCAAAATCAACAAAGCTTTCAAGTAGACGAAAACACCGGATGTGATTTTAGGTGGACGGTAGAGAAACACCTGAGAATGGGTTTTTGTTTATTTTTTGAAAATGGTTTTATGTTCTTAATTGGAAAGGAATCCCAGGAATAATCATGTTTTACGATGAAATTTTGTTACAAAAGTGCTTCGTGAGCCCAAAAAAACTGGAATTTCGATATTTCTCGGTGTAAATCTAGTCTTGCTGTTGTTTTTTGAAATTTGTTTGGGCTCACGGAGCATTTTTGAAATTTTTTTCAAAACTAGTTTATTCAGGCTTCAGAATCAAAAACATGATTATTCCCATTTATTCTTATTTATTTATTTAAAGTAAACTTGTTTATAAAATTTTTGTTTGAACTTTGAGAATTAATTAAGAAAATCAAAATCAAAACTGGTTTGATGTGACCCCTTCCGTTTCCTTGATGTTTACAATTATTCGAAACATGCAAAAATGTTTTTTATCCACCCGGACACCTCCTGGCACATTTCAAAAACGGGGAAAACTATCAAATTTCCGAATGCATGATAGGGAGTGTGAAATTTTTCATCTTCATCTTACCAAAGCGCACGCGTTGCAAAAGATGCCAGAAATAGCAATTGGTAACAACAAGTAACGATTGAGATTGCAGAGTTGAAAGTATAAAGTATGATCGTGAACTTTGGGCTCGAAATAACATTGGATGTTCATATTGGAATGAGCAACTTGAAGAGACTCAGTCATGTTCACATTCGGATCCTGCAAATTAAAAATCAAACAAATTCATTTTTCCATAAGATAAAACAAATATCAAACAATTCAAAGCAAAACAAAAAATAAAGGAAAAAACTTTTAAATAACCTATCAGTCAGAGTCGAACAGAAATTCAATTATACATATGTTTCTTTTCGCAACATTCTCTTTTTTTTTTCTTTAGTAATCGTAGATCAGCTGAGTAAAAAACCCAAAAAAAACATCTCCAAATTTCATGGTTCAAAAAATTTCAAACAGAAACCGAAACCAAAAATAACACACATACATATATACATGATATAATTGTCTTTTCGCCTTTTTTCTAGGAGCAAAATAATCCCTTTTTTGCAGAAAAAAAGTGCATGAATCAGTTTGGGTGTAGAGTAAAACGTGATGTTCAAAAATCTAGAATTTTGTGAGAAGAAAAATAGTGCACTTTTTTGGAAGGGTTGTTGTTTTTCTTGGTGGGGGTGGATATAATATTCCATGTGATCAAAAGAAGAAATATATAAATCTGATATACTCCCATAAAAGTACTAATATATAATAACATTCCAGATTTTTTGTAGTACAAATCTGAAGAAGATTAGCTACAGTGATTTTTTTTAAGCCAGGTTTTTTTTTTCTGAAAATGATACATTCTCCTAACTAGTTTTTGGATGAGTGAGAATTTCTAGAAACTGGATTTTGAATTCTTAAATTCAGAAATCAGAACAAGTAATGATAACTATCAGATTCCCCCACTCATGTGACTTTTTACGGTTGAATGGAAATTATTAATTAACGAATCTATAAATATTCAAAAAACACACCGAAAAAACACACAAACACAGATCCTCATCAAAATTATTCGGATTCTAATAATAAAAATACCAAAACCAAACATGGATCAGTTTTTTTCTTCTTTTGGCCAACACAATATTTGTACAACAGAGGGGTTGAAATGTGTGTATGAACAACAAATCTAGTTCAACATATTTTGGTAGTTGTTATTCTATTTATCCATGAACCAGACAACAAATTTGATGATCATGATATAATAAAGTTTTCTTGAATCTTTTCGAGGAAGTTTTTTGGAAAACTGGAGAAAAAACATAACAACTCGGAAAATTCCTGAAGTATTGGGATCCTATTAAAATTAAAGTACTGGTCATCCAGCAATCAAAAAATACAGAACTCTAAAATTTTGACGTGGCGTGGTAGCTCTCATGAAAATTTAATAGCAGCAACATCTTCCGAAGGATTGATTAGTTTATTCAATTTTTCAAATTTTCACACCCTTGGCATAAATAATTTGAATAGGGTTAATCTGACAAACTTTTGATTTCGAACTTTTCTTAAATAAAATCTTTTGGTATTCGGGTTGACCTTCTTACATTTTCGTAATCGAAAACTTTGCTACCAGGTTTTCATGGAAGTCTTTTTTTAGTTCTAGACTTTCCAAGTCACGATATTTCAAAATGCTCTAATTTTTCCACGTCATAACTCATAGCTACAGTGGAGCTTTGTTTTGCACAATTTTTCTCTTAGGCCCAAATTCTAGGTTAAAATTAGGATTTTCAAAACCTTCTAGAAACAAACAGTCCACTTGTTAGCTTCAGATCTGCTCCCACCTGAAGCTCATTTGGCCATCGCTTCCTCCAAGCTAAAGATTGTGACCAAAATGGTGCTGCACCATATTTTGCTCAAGAAAGTGCTCCCGAGCTCTTCCCGACTATTATCCTCCCGAGAACTTACGATTACAGTGACAAAATATGAGTATGTCATATCGGTGTTGTTGAGCCAGTTGATTTTCATTTTTCTTCTTCCGAGTTTAGATTTCAGAATAATAAGGAATGCATAAAAATAATTGAAAAAAGCTCGGCTTATTAAGCAAGTTTTGGCGGAAATAGGTGGAGCTCAAGATTGAGATGTGTGATTTTTTCGATTTTGCACAAAATAGGAGCTGAGCTGAGCTGGGTTACGGTAGATCTACTCACTCTAATTTCAAAGCCATCTTGTGCCATGCACAAAATGTGGGTTGAACACATCGGAAACAATGAATCCCTGGAGAGCCTATGCTATTTTCAGATTAGTTGACGGAAATGTTGCGGTTTTAATTGAGAAAAGAACAACGAAATAGCTGAAAATTTCGTCGAGAGAGATGAAACAAAGTGTTTTCTTTGGAATTGTGTTGAAAAAAAGCGAGAATTTTATGTCTTTGAAACAAATGCAATTTCAGACAAAAAAATAGAGTTTGAGCCTGAAACTTGAAAAATAAAATTTTTTTTTGAAAAATTCAAAAATTTCAGCGTCAAAAGATGGATTTCAAATTTTTAGTAACGAACATTTCTGATTTCAAAATGAAAAAAAAAAAGAAGAAGAAAAAAACGGAAAAACACTTATTGAAACAAGAAAATGTATCAAAACCGCACGAAAAAAATTGAGAGAAAATAAAAATAAGACGAATAAGAAAATAAAAAAAACGATAGAAGTTTTTTTTTGTTTACTTAGAGACTTCTTCATCATCATCATGTTTCGCATAATCTGTGTGTATGTGCTCTGATTCACAATTTTTCCACACACAGATCTATAAAAAAATCATAAACGTCATGAACTTTGAAGTATCTTTTTTTCATTTTGTTATTTTGACAGAGGTGAGAAAAACAGTAAACATTTATGTATGTATTTATGATTTCAAATTAATTTATATATTTTTTTTAATCTATCAAGTGTTATGTTTTGCTGAAAATAAAAATGAGTCAAAATAATATGTTAAAAAAAAAACAAAAGACAGGCCCATCTGTGTTTATCAAAAGTACATTAGCATTTATGAAATTGTTTTTTTTTTTTGCTGCCATTCATTTTCTACCTTTGATTCTCTGCAAGCAAGTTGGTTCCCTATTTCCAATCTATTTCTGTTTTTATTTTTATTTTTTCTGAACCTTACGGTAGGAAACAACTAATCAGACAGAAGTGCAATTATATTCCCCTTATTAAAAATGTTTGTGGGTTTCAGGCCAATTATTTGTGCCAATTAGTGAGAACAAACAAACATATCTACAGAATATAATGAAAGAAAATGTGGAAAAAAGTGACGAGTTCAGATTTTTGGTCTGAAAGACAGGACAAGATAAATTAAATGGGCGGGACAAGAGTCTTATGATGTGATGTGACGAATCTCAGAGGAAAAATCACCAACTTGCAAATGATTCATAACATCACCTTGAATAGATAGAAATGAAATTGAATTGAAAATTGAAAATGAAACGTTTCTTGTTGTCAAACCACACGTTTCAGTCTCCTTGTGATCTTCTTTCTTCCTGGAAAATTTTCAAAAAAAAAAGAAAGAAATGAAAATATTCTCCTTTTCTGGTGTGAAATAAGGAGGCGTTTGAAATCCGAGACATTTTTGTTTCAATGGAGAAATCAGTTGTGAAGTTAGTTCATTATGAAAAAAATACTTGAAAGATCTAAAAATAATTACTTACTTATTTTAGGAAAAAAAACAACATGCGTTTGTTTATTTAGCTCTTGTGTTGGTTAGAATCAAAATAAGACAATTGGATGAGAACGTGTTGGATATTGAGATTTTTGAATCTTTGAGGTAGTTAATGAGATCAGAAAAACACTATGACGGAGTTTGGAACTATGGACGTTCAATAAATACAACGTTCAATAAATCACCAACCGATCATTGTTGCTCAGAAATGATTTTCTGGAAGAACAATGTTGCTGAATAACTGAACTTTTTTGAAAGTTTAAAAAAGTACATACATATTTTTATCACACCATTGGGACATTTGTTTGTCAAGGATTTTTAAAAACATATTCTTCAACACGTTTTTCTATCATTTTTCATTCGAATAATTACTTTATATATAAAACTTGGCTATGAAAATCACATCAAAAGATCAAATAAAAGTTGCAATATGTAGAGAAATGAATGTCTGATTCACAAGAAAATGCTCAAAATTCGATAAATTATGAGAGTTGGGTATCGATAAAAATTTGGAAATGATAATTATGAAGAGATGCAATAATAATTAGATACAATTAAAGCTCAATTTGTGATTAGAAATTGTATGATTAGGGGGAAGAGATTTACCGGGATATAGAAGAAGTAGAAAAAGAAAAGTATTGGGAGATCAATTTGAATAAAATATAAAACAATATGTATGAAAAGGAATGCCTGATTCACAAGAAAATTCTCAAAATTTGATTAATTATGAGAGCGGTATCAATAAAAAAATGGAAATGATAATTATGAAAAGATGCTATAATAATTAGATACAATTAAAGCTCAGTTTGTGATTAGAAATTGTATGATTAGGGGGAAGAGATTTACCGGGATGTATTAGAAAAAAGTAAGATGGCGAAAGAAAAGTATTGGGAGATCACGTTGGGTAAAATATAAAACAATATGTATGAGAATGAATGCCTGATTCACAAGAAAATGCTCAAAATTTGATTAATTATGAGAGTGGTATCAATAAAATTTGAATGAGGATAATTATGAAGAGATGCAACATTAATTAAATACAATTAAAAGCTCAATTTGTGATTAGAAATTGTATGATCAGGGGGAAGAGATTTACCGGAATGTACTAAAAGAAAAAAGATGATGAGAATATTTGGGGGGATGGGGTAATTTGGGTGAAATACAAAACAATATGTATGAAAATGAGTGCCTGATTCACAAGAAAATTCTCAAAATTTGATTAATTATGAGATTGGTATCAATAAAAAATTGGAAATGATAATTATGAAGAGATGCAAAAATAATTAGATACAATTAAAGCTCTTTCACAAACTAGGAAAAAAACTTTTGGATTAGAGCAAAGAGGTTTAAGATAATAGAAGGGCAGTTTTGGGAGATCAATTGGGATAAAAAACAATATGCAATAAGTATGAAATGGATACTTATAATTCACAAGAAAATGCTCACATTCAAATTAGAAAACCAATGGTTGGAGCTGGAATATAAACCGGAAATGATATTAGAACACTATAACATTCTGGGTTGGGAATGATTATGATAAAAAGTGAGATAATGAAGGGAAAATATGGGGGAAGTGAATATGGATAGCGATGAAAAGCTACTATGAATTTTGATCGATGAATCAGGCAAAGGAGCATTTGATTAGTGTCGCTTTTTTTGGAAATCTGAGTGGTTGGATGAACTTGAACGTTTTTTGGCTTGCCAATGTGATTCTTCCGCTCTGAAAATTAAAAACAATGTTTCGAATGAAAAATATAGTAAAACAACCGAACCTTTCATGACGATGTTTTGATGCGTTAGTTGAAGATGAATCTTTGGATGAACATGGTTGTTCTTCAGCTTTGTGCTCCGATTTTTTCGATCTGTAAATAGGAGTTATTGATTTGAAAATGTAAATTCTCAGAAAAATTTGTGAAAATATCCAACCTTCTATAATGATGCTTTGATTTTTCAGATGAAGACGATTGTTTAGGCGAACGGAAACGTTTTTCATATTTGTGATTTGATTTAGCCGATCTGAAAATTGAGAATTATTGAACTAATGATGTAGTTTTTCAGAAAAACTTTTAAGCTTGTGAATGTAAAAAATAGTGAAAAAATATCAAACCTCTCATGGCGGTCCTCGTCAGATGATGAAGAATAATCATATGAACGTGAATGTTTTTTAGTTTTACGACTCGATCTTCCCCGTCTGAAAAAAATCGATAAATTTAAAATGTAAATATGTTCTCAGAAAAGTTTTGCTTTTACAAGGGTTGTCTTTCTACAAAGCTCGATCAGCTAAATAGTTAGGGCTTAGGTGATACGCTACGTGTTCAGAAAAATTTCTTGATGCGCGAATACCAAGTTTTTTGTCCAAAACACAACTCGCTAAAACCAACCTTAAAACTAGGAAAGAAAGTTCGCTATATCGCAAATATAATTTATATGTGTACTTCTTTCGGGGTTCATACCCAAACATTTGGACAACCCCTTTAAAAGTGTTTGATGTCAAAAAAAAAGGTGAAAATATCGAACCTCTCATGGCGATCCTCCGATTCGTCAGATGAAGATGTGCAATCATATGAACGTGAACGTTTCTTTGATCCCCCACTCGATGTTTTCGATCTGGAAATAAGAGTTATCAATTAAAAAATGTAATTTCACTGAAAAATTTGCATTTAAAATTTTCGAATAAGAAATATAGTGAAAATGTCCAACCTTTCATCACGATGCTTTGATTTTTCAGATGAAGACGATTGTTTGGGCAAACGCAAACGTTTTTCATCTTTGCGATTCGATTGCTCCGATCTGTAAATTGAGAATTATTGACCTAATGACGTAGTTTTTCAGGAAAACTTTTAAACTTGTGAATGTAAAAAATAGGAAAAATATCGAACCTCTCATGGCGATCCTCGTCAGATGAAGATGTGCAATCATATGAACGTGGACGTTTTTCAGTTTTACGACTCGATGTTCCCGATCTGAAATCCAGAATTGGCAAATTAAAAGTTTACATAGCCCTCAAAAAAATTTTGCTTTTAAAAATGTTTGATGTCAAAAAAATATGTAAAAATATCCAACCTTTCTTGACGATTCTTTGATTTGTCAGATGAAGATGATTGTTTGGGCGAACGAAAACGTTTTTCATCTTTGTGATTCGATTGTTTCGATCTGAAAATTGGGAATTATTGAACTAATGACATAGTTTTTCGGAAAAAGTTTTAAACTTGTGAATATAAAAAATAGGAAAAATATCTAACCTCTCATGGCGATTCTCGTCAGATGAAGATGTGCAATCATATGAACGTGGACGTTTTTCAGCTTTACGACTCGATGTTCCCGATCTGAAATGCAGAATTATCAAATTAAAAGCGTTAAGATCTCAATGTCAGAAAAATGTTTCTTTTAAAAATGTTTGATGTCAAAAAAAAAATATCCAACCTTTCATGACGATTTTTTGATTTGTCAAGTGAAGATGAATTTGAATCTTTCTTGTTTTCTTCTTCGCGTTTTGATGATTCTGATCTGAAAATTTTGAAATTATGCTTATTGAAAACTATTTAAACAGTAAAAAATAGCTAACTTCTTATTACTAGGTTCCGATTCGTGTATTTGTTCTAGAAGTTGAGAATCCGAGACTTCCTGCCTTTTACGCCATTTCATTTCGTATTCTTTAGATCTTTCAATATGCGAAGACCGCTTGACAGAGGTCCTACGAAAATATTGTTCTGCTTCAAATTTAATTCTCTCAGCTTCCCTTTCTCGCACATAATGTTTTGCTTGCCGTGTCAGTATCCTATCCGATAAGAGCCATGGACCACCATGTTCCGAAAGAATCTTCTCTACAGCTTCTTTCATACTCTCTTCATCGATATCGGAACCATCGCTTTCATCGGTCGATGTTCGGGGATACAAAAATCGATCACTGAAAATATTTCATTTTTTACTAAATTTTCCGTTTTTAATGAAAATTGGATATAAATGGCGCAAGAAAAATATTGTTTTGGAGGTTTTGACAAATTATCTTTGAAAAATTGTTTGAAAAATTTGCGAGAGAACGATAAGAGCTTGACATCAAGAAAATCTCGAAGTCTCATCACAAGGATGAAAAACAAATGACGCCGTAAGAGGTAGATTTTTTGATCTTTTTTTTACATAGTTTGCAATATGAAAAATTTTTCTTTGTGGATAAAATAACTTCAAAATTTTAAGAGCCGAATCATCAAAACAAGAAGAAGAAAAAATACCTGCTTGATGCTCCAGTTTTCTCCTTTTGTCTCGATGCAATATATTGTGACCGATCATACCACTCTCTAAGTTCCTTCTCTTCATCGGAATAATAATCATTCGCTGGCTGTGTTGATATTTTATCCGAAGAATTCAACATTGAACCATTTTCCGAACTAATCTTCTCTCTAGCTTCCTTCGTACTTTGGTCATCAAACTCGTCATCATCCAATACGATTTCATTGTCACTATCACTGCTCAATGTTGTAACATCCACAGTTTGATCACTGAAAATGTTTAATTATTTACTAAATATTCCGTTTTTAATGCAAATTGGATATAATTGGCGCGAGAAAAATATTTAAGGGTTGGTCAGGAAAACTTAGGTTCATTCGATAGAGCTAAGGTGCTCCTAAAACATTCCATATTTTATTTTGATTTTAGAGCGAGTTTTCACCATTTTATTCATGTTTTTGTTGGGTTTTAAGGTTTTAGTGCATATAAAAAACATGTGTGCTCTTCACACACATAATTTATTTGTGTGTATTTCTCGCGAAATGCATTTCCTAACATTTTTCAACTATGGAAGGTGATTTTAATCAACTTTAGGCTTGCTTATAGTTAGTTTTAAAAAGTGACGCACTATTGCGGACTTGTTTTCTCGTGTAGCAAGACCAACCCTTTAAGAGATAAGATTTAATGTTGTTCTTTTTACATAGTTTGAAATATGAAATATTCTTTTTTTTTTCAATAAATAACTTCAAAATTTTTAGAGCAGAATCATCAAAACATGATGAAGAAAAATACCTGTTTGTTGATCCGATTCTCTCCTTTTGTGAATCATGTTTTGCTGGCAGTGTCAGTTCATCCGATAAATTCAACATTGAACCATTTTCCGAACTACTCTTCTCTTTAGCTTCCTTCATACTTTGGTCATCAAACTCGTCATCATCCAATACGATTTCATTGTCACTATCACTGTTCAATGTTATTACATCCCCAATTTGATCACTGAAAATATTTCATTTTTTACTAAATTTTCCGTTTTTAATGAAATGTGGATATAACTGGTGCAAGAACAATATTGTTTTAAAAGTTCTGACAAACGATCTTTGAAAAATGATAAAAAATATGAGAGAGAACGAAAAGAGGGTAAAATCAAGAAAATCTCGAAGTCTCATCCCAAGGATGAAAAACAAATGACGCCATTATGAAAAATATGAAATATTTTTCTTTGTTGATAAAATAACTTTAAAATTTTAAGAGACGAATCATCAAAATACGAAGAAGAAAAAATACCTGCTTGTTGATCCAATTCTCTCCAAAAGAACCCTCTCTCTAGCATTCATCATACATTGATTCCTGTAATCGTCATCATCGTGTTCGCTTTCACTGTCATTATCACTGCTCAATGTTGTAACATCCACAATTTGATCATCACTGAAAATGTTTTATATTTTACTAAATTTCCAGTTTTTAATGAAAATTGGATATAATTGGGGCGAGAAAAATATTAAGAGATAAGATTTAATGATCTTTTTACATAGTTTGAAATATGAAATATTCTTTTTTTTTTCAATAAATAACTTCAAAATTTTCAGAGCAGAATCATCAAAACACGATGAAGAAAAATACCTGATTGTTGATCTAATTCTCTCCAAAAGAATCCTCTCTCTAGCATTCATCATACACAGAATCTTGTAATCGTCATCATCGAATTCATCGTCACTGCTCAATGTTATTACATCCACAATTTGATCACTGAAAATGTTTAATACATGTATTTTCCTAAATGTTCCGTTTTTTTTTAATGAAAATTGGATATTATTGGCTAAAGAAAAATATTTTTTTGAGGTTCTGACAAACGATCTTTGAAAAACCTCAAATGAAAATCCCGGCAAAAGAGGAACACGAGAAAGAAAAAATACCTTTTCGTTGATCCAATTCCATCCTTTTGTAAACAATCATTTTCTTGTGATGGCAGTTCATGATCTGGGATAGTCATTATCCAATCATCCAACCATTCTTTGATTGTCTTCATATATTCTCTATCGGCATCCATCATTTGACTACTGAAAACGTTTTATATTTTACTAAATTTTCCGTTTTTTTTAATAAAAAACTTTTGAATAACGGGTATCAAAATACAATACATAAAACAAATTAGCTTATAAGCAAGCAAAAACCAAAAACTCTTTTCAAAAATGTTTGTAAAAAGTTTAATGGAAGAAAAACAAAACACGAAAAAAAATGAATGACAACGAGAGGTCAATCAATGATGACGTTGGGTAAACAAACAAAAATCAAAGATCAACTTTTTAGAAAAAAGGGAACACTGTGTGTAAAAGAGAAAGAGAAAAAAGACAATGAATAGTAGAAATTAGGAAAACACATTTTTTGATGTATAGAAAATAAACTTTTTGTGCTAAAATTGAAAAAAATAAAAGTGTCGCGCCTGGGAGCTAACATATATTGTATAAATGAGAAAAACAAATGACAAAAAAGGAGACAGGAACACACTCCTCGCGAGGTGTGCAGGTTTGTGCGAAATGTTCAGTGGAGCGCTTTTGCATTTTTGTTGAATTTTATTTGTTATTTGTCTTTTCTTAAAATGTATAACTGGAAAGCAAAAATCTTTTTTTTTTCAAATTCCGTTTTGAATAAAAATTTTAAATCACGGGTATTTAATACAATAAAAGAAACAAATTAGCCTATATTTAGGAGGAAAGCAAGCAAAAACCAAAAACTCTTTCCAAAAATGTTTGTAAAAAGTTTACTACGTGACTGGAAGAAAAACAAAACACGAAAAAATGAATGACAACGAGAGGTCAATCAATGATGACGTTTGAGTAAACAAACAAAAATCAAAGATCAACTTTTTAGAAAAAAGGGAACACTGTGTGTAAAAGGGGAAGACAAAAAAGACAATGAATAGTAGAAATTAGGAAAACATATTTTTTGATGTATAGAAAATAAACTTTTTGTGGTAAAATTGAAATTGAAAATAATAAGAGTGTCGCGCATGGGAGCTGTATAAATGAGAAAAACAAATGACGAAAAAAGGACAGCAACACAGTCCTCGCAAGGTGTGCAGGTTTGTGCGAAATGTTCAATGGAGCGCGTTTGCATTATTGTTGAATTTTATTCGTTATTTGTCTTTTCCTAACATTTTTAACTGGAAAGAAACTTATTCTTTTTGTTTTCTTTTGAAATAAAAAAAGTCATATTGAAGCTAGTTTCAGACTTGTGAAGTCACGATATTTCGAAATGTTTTAATTTTGCCAAGTCATAACTCATGGAGCTCTGCAGTTTTGCACATTTTTTTTTCATGGGCCCAATGTTCAGGTTCAAAACAGGGTATTTCTTTAAATATTATCTTCTAGAAATATTTCATTTTTAGTGAAGTTTCAAACAGTCCGCTTGCTAGCTTCAGATCTGCTTCCAACAGCAGAAGCTCATCACATTTCTGAAAATCTAAATATATGATCTGAAAATTGCTGCAGGCCAAATTTTTTGAATACTTATGGCTAACGTCAATAGCACCCCCACACAGTTTAAAAAAAATTTGGACCTAATTCGATTAGTTTCAGCTTATTTACAGCAAAAAGATAAAAAGTGATTTAATTATGGCCACTACTGAACTTTTTCGAAAAAATACATTTCACTTTTATCACACCATGGGGATATCTGTTTGTGAAAGATTTTTAAAAACCAATCTTTTCAAAATGAAATGTTCAAAACTTTTTCTATCACTGTTTATTCAAATAATTACTTTATATAAAACTGGGCCTTGGAGATCACATCAAAAGATCAAATAAAAGTTTCAATACATATGTATGAAAATGAATGCCTGATTAACAATAAAATGCTCAAAATTTGATTAATTATGAGAGCGGTATCAATAAAATTTGAATAAGGATAATTATGATGGGATGCTAATGATATACAAACAAAAAAAAAAACACTTTTACGATTTGGGCGAAGAAATTTAAGATAACTTTTGGGAGATCAATTTGGATAAAATATAGAATGCAATATGTATGAAACGAGTACTTACAATTCACAAGAAGATGTTCAAATTTTGATAAATTATAAGAGAAATTGGTATCAATAACACTCAAAAAAACTGATAATTATATATACAATTAAAACCATTCTTCAAATTAGGAAAAACCGGTAGATACTAGAAAAACAATAATTGGAGCTGTATAATATGAACCGGAAATGATACTAGAATACTATAACAGTCTAGGTTGGGAATGATTAAAAGGTAAGATATGGTGGGGAAATATTGGAAAAGTAAACTTATTAGATAAACATGAAAAGCAACTATGAAGTTTGATAGAGAAGACACTGAATCGGGCAAAGCAGCATTTTATTAGTGTCGCTTTTTTGGGGCAGCTGAGTGGTTGGACGAACTTGAACGTTTTTTGGCTTTCCAATGTGATTCTTCCGCTCTGAAAATTAAGAGATATTGAGTTGAAAATATTATTTTTCATAATTTTTTTGAATGAAAAATATAGTAAAACAATCGAACCTTTCATGACGATGTTTCAATGTGTCAGTTGAAGATGAATCTTTGGATGAACGCCACAGTTTCTCAGCTTTGTGCTCCGATTTTTCCGATCTGTAAATGGGATTTATTAATTTTAAAATGTAAATTTTCAGAAAAATTTGCATTTAAAATTTTTGAATAAAAAATATAGTGAAAATATCCAACCTTTCATTATAATGCTTTGATTTTTCTGAAAATTGGGAGATATTGAACTAATGACTTAGTTTTTCAGAAAAACTTTTAAACTTGTGAATGTAAAAATCAGGAAAAATATCGAACCTCTCGTGGTGATCCTCCGATTCGTCAGATGAAGATGTGCAATCATATGAACGTGACCGTTTCTCCACTCCCCGACTCGAAGTTTTCGATCTGAAATCCAGAATTATCAAATTGAAAGTGTACATAAGTCTCAAAAAAATTGCTTTTAAAAAATGTTTGATGTCAAAAAAAATTGTAAAAATATCAAACCTTCCACGACGATTCTTTGATTTGTCAGATAAAGATGAATTTGAATCTTTCTTGTTTTGTTTTGATGCTTCAGATCTGAAAACTTTGAAATTATTGTTCTAACAAAGAACAACTATGCATATTGAAAACTATCTAAACAGTTAAAAATATCTAACCTCTTATGACTAGGCTCCGATTTGTGTGTTTTGTCTTTTTGAGGAGACTTCGAGACTTCCTTCATTTCACGCAATTCTCGTACTTTTTCATAAATCCGCTCAAGTTTCGAAGATCGCTTGTTAGAGTTTCCACGATTTCCTTCAAATGGTTTTGTGTGTAAACTAGTAGAAGATGATTGTTCAAATTGTTGTCGAATTGGACTTCTTTTCCTATATTTTTCTTCCTTTCTGTGACTTGCATCATCCGTCGCCTTCATCGATCTGAAATTTTCAATTATATGAAAAATTATAAACGTGTTAAATTTTAGTATCCAAAATCACAAAATTACCTGTTCAATGATCGAATTCCTTTCTCAATTCGCTCTCTTCGCAATAAATCTTTTGCTCGCAATTTCAGTATCTTATCCGATAAATGGAACCTTGAACCATTTGCCAAAATAATCTTCTTTTGAGCTTCTTTTATACTCTGTTCATCGAAATCGTCATCATCGAATTCGCTTTCACTGCCACTTTCACTGCTCAATGTTGTAACATCCACAACTTTATCACTGAAAATGTTTTATATTTAACTAAATTTCCAGTTTGTAATGAAAATTGGATATAATTGGGGCGAGAAAAATATTGTTTAGGAAGGTAAGAGGTAAGATTTAAAAATGTTTTTTTTACATAGTTTGCAATATGAAATATTCTTCCTTGTTAAATAAATAACTACAAAATTTTCAGAGCAGAATCATCAGAACACGATGAAGAAAAAATACCTGCTTGATGCTCCAGTTCTCTCCTTTTGTAAATGATCTTTTGCTGGAAGTGTCAGTATTTCATCCGATAAATTCAACATTGAACCATTTTCCGAACTAATCTTCTCTTTAGCTTCTTTCATACTTTGGTCATCAAGCTTGTCATCATCGAATTCGTTTTCATCGTCGCTGCTCAATGTTATTACATCCACAATTTGTTCACTGAAAAGGCTTAATACATGTATTTTACTAAATTTCCCGTTTTAATGAAAGTTGGATTCTCTTCTTGAAATGGTAGTAGTTTATCATCATCCGATATATTTACTACCCTATCATTCAACCAATACCTTTCTTTGAGTTCCTTTGAAGATTTTCTATTGGCATCCGTCATTTGACTACTGAAAATGTTTAATATTTTATCAAATTTTCCGTTTCAAATAACAATTTTTAAATCACGGGTATTTAATACAATAAATAAAACAAATTAGCTTTGATTCAGGGTAAAAGCAAGCAAAAACCAAAAACTCTTTCCAAAAACGTTTGTAAAAAGGTTACTCCATGACTGGAAGAAAAACAAAACACGAAAAAAAGTGAATGACAACGAGAGGTCAATCAATGATGACGCCATCAAACAAACAAAAATCAAAGATCAACTTTTTAGAAAAAAAAAGGAACACTGTGTGTAAAAGAGGAAGACAAAAAAGACAATGAATAGTAGAAATTAGGAAAACATATTTTTTGATGTATAGAAAATAAACTTTTTGTGGTAAAATTGAAAAAAATAAAAGTGTCGCGCATGATGAGAAAAAAAATGACAAAAAGGAGACAGGAACACAGTCCTCGCGAGGTGTGCAGGTCTGTGCGAAATGTTCAGTGGAGCGCGTTTGCATTATTGTTGAATTTTATGTGTTATATGTCTTTTCCTGGAATGTTTAACTGGAAAGAAACTTATTCTCTTTGTTTTTTTTTTGAAATATGTAGAGGAGGTTAATTTTATTGTCTAAAAATGAGGATTGACAAAAAAAAGTTGTTTTTTTAACACATTTTTAGTCCGAGAATAAGTTATGATTTATGTATATAGCAAAAAAGATCCCTAATTTTTAAAAATCTCCCAGACAAGTCTGAAGTATTTCCTAATTCCTTCACTAATTTTAAATTCATCTATTTTTGTTCATTTTTGTTCTTCAGAACTTTTTAATTTGCCGAATAGCCAAATGCTCCAAAAAAGCAATTAGCAAAAGGGCACATCTTTTTTTTTCTGAAACTGACATTAGCATTTTTCTCAATTGTTTCTGTTCAATTCTGGCAATTTTTTTGATTAGGGAAAACGCTGCCCGGAATTCTCAAATTTTATATTAGAGTTCAAAAATATCGGATTTCTGTGTTATGTTTAAGCAAATTTTATATCAAAATAATGTTCGGTATTTTTCCAAGTAAACAAATTTGACACAGAGTTAAACACCAAATTGCGAAATTTTGTCAGTTCCTCTTTACTTTGTCAGATAACATATCAGTCATATATATTCGCCCGGAATCGTTTTCCATGAATCATTGTGCCAACAAAAATATGAAGAAATTTGATATTCAATGACTTTGTTGTTTCATTTTAGAAATTTTGATGACCAAAAATACATTTTTGCCAATGCTTTTGATTATTCATCAAATAAAAATTTCTGTCTATACAGAAAATAAAAATTATTTCAAAAACTTTATGTAGTTCCATATCCCGTTTACCAGGTGATTTTGAAATGAAACATTGAAGAAATATCAATGCACTATACAATTCGATTTCCTTTCCCTTGCCATAATATAAAAAATAGTAATTTCCTTGGCAATAAAATTCTCCATATTTCCGTTTTCATATTTCCCATCACATTTTTGTTAAATTCAACGAACTTTTTCAATTGTCATGACAACAAAACGTGGCACTTTCGTCATTTTTCCAAAAGAATGTTTTATCTCGACCTGATTAGTCACTAACTCTCTCATCAAAAGAAAAACAAAAAATCAAACAGTATTTAAAGCCGAGAGAGACCAAAACTTCATTATCAGTTCCACAAAAAATATGCATACGTGTGACGATGGTTGATAGATAAAACTTTATTTGAAATATGATTCAGTTGTGTACAAATACCATCTTTCTCACATTTTTTTTGACTTATGTGTATGTATTTCCTGGTGTTCAGTGAAAGCTGCACAAACATTGTATTTTTTCTCAACAAAATATATTTTTTATTATCAGGTCAATTGTATATTTTTATTTTTCTTCCAATACTTCATTTTTGCTTATTGAAAAAGTGTTGCTAGGAATTATTCTGTTTCTATGTAAAATCTCATTTAGCCTTTGAATTTGAATGTTTTCGAAACACCAACAACAAAATATTTTCAGAAAGGATATTTCAAAAACAAAAAACAACAGAGCAACAAAATGTGCTTGTCTGGAATAACTCAAACTCTTTATGGAATTATTATGGCTGGAAGTGCAATTCTGACTATTATTGCACTTTTTACACCAGGTAAGGGATGTTTTCTGTTGACAAAAGAAAGTTGTTTTGAAATTTTAATTATTGCAAAATTTTTTCGATAAGACATATTAAATTTTTTTCAAAATTACACAATGAGCGGAATAAGAGCCCTAAGGTTTTCTGAGAATAGACTCCCAGCCTTTAAGGTCCCGAATTCACAAAATGATTTTGCATTTAACAAATTTCAGACTAACTCGCTTATTTTCCCTCCTCCTCGAACAGTTCCAAAAACTTTTATGAACAAATTTATCATTTAAAGAAAACTTGACGTCATTCAAAACTATACAATCATCTTGCCGAAAATAATCACTAAATAAACAAAAAATCACAAGAAATTAAAAATATATTGCAGACTGGAACACGGTGAAAAATGCTCCAACAACTGGCACCAAAACAAATTGGAATGGGCTTATGCCATGGGCATGTATTGATAATTCCGGAGGTTCGACTTGTCAAAATTGGTGGGCGGTAAGAAATTCACTCTGATTTTTTTCCAGAAAAAAAAACAAATTTTTTTTCAGAACTTACCTGATTGGTTGAGATGTGTTGTCGTTTGTATGATTCTTGCAGTCATTGTCGAAGTATTTGCGGTCGTCTATAACTTTTTGACTTGTTTGGCATGTTGTTGCAAAAAATATGTCATCCACCCACTCACATTTTTCGCTCTAGTTTCCACAGTTCTTCTCTTGATTGCAGTCATTGTTTATGCTGCCAATTATTCTGAATTCAGTAGTGGAGTAACTGTTGATACACAATTGGGATATTCTTTCTGGCTTGCTGTTGGAGCACTTATTTTGTCCGCTGGAGCTGTGATACTTGGAGCGATTTCAGTTTTCTTTGGAGAACATTGTTGTTAATTTGTGAATAATTATTATTGAACTGTTTTGTTCAAACCCGGTGATGACTTTTTTGTATGTATTTTGCTTGCCTGCCTGTGATTGCATTTTTATTATCAATAAAACTTTGTTGCTCAAAACGAAAAGGTATTCGTTCCGCAAGGTTTTTTCTAAAAAAAAAAGTTGTAAAAATTACAAAAGATATTTTTTTAACATGAGCATCTGAAGAGTTTTTCAGAAGTGAGAGATTCAGGGAAAAATATTTTTGATCCATTTCTAATATTTCAAAAAGTTTGAAGTTTCACAATCTAAGAATTTCACAATCTAAAGTTGTTTTTTGTTTTTTTTTTCAATTTTAATAAATAAAAATATCATTTATTTGAAAACGATTTTGAAATTCATTTTTATTTTCGTAAAACTGTTATCAAACTTGCAAATTCACCAGAATATTTTTTTTTGTTTTTTTTTCACAAAAATAGTATAGTTTAAAATTAGTCATCCCCGAGTCTTCCCAAATAAACTAACATAAACAGTTCAAAAAATGAATCGAAAAGTGACTTTTTCTGTGTTTTTTATGCTCAAAGTATTATTAGTGCCAAAAACATTGTGTAGTTCAACATTACAAGACAATAAAGGCAAAGATCGAGCTCGGGTTTGGGTTCAAAAATGTCGTGGGAGTGTGAAGAATTACATACATACTGTTTTGTTTGTTGTTTGCCGTCATTTTTTAAATGATTGAACTCGACTTGAAAAATATTTATGTTCTATGCTTCCCTATTTGCTTTATTATTTTGCAAAGCAATCGACGGAATTGAAGAAAAACAACAACGATTTTGATTTTTTGTTCCCTTGAACTATAAAAAAAGTGTTCTATGAAAAAAAATGGTAGTGTTTTGTTTAATGATTTACAAGTAAATCAAAAAGTAAATAGCAAGAATCAACTGATTTTTAAAATGTGAACAATGAACGCGATTAGAAATGAGCCGGATCTGAAAAAATTTAAAGCTAGTTTTTCTCATTGTCCATTCTGATCATTTGAGCTCAAAACCAAAATAGTGTGTGAAACAAGAGATTCAGAAAAATGTATGATAAAATCCCTTTGCGCATATCTCACATAAAAATATATTTATTATTTTTGCAAAAATTTTCAAAAAAAAATCCACCTGCAATTTTTTGTACTTTCTAAAACATTTTTTGAACCTGATCGTTCTAAAAGTAAAACACACTTTGAGTTTACACGGCGATTACGCGTTGCCAACCTTTGCTCAACGTTGATTTTTTCTAATTTTAAGGTAATGAGAACGGCAAATAAAAAACATTTTTATCCGTCCAGGTGTACCGGGTTGTGATCGGAGGAGAAATAAAGGAAGGAAGGAAGGAAGGAAAATAAGGTAAAACTTAGGCAGGCAGGAAGTAAGGAGGGAAATAAAAATTTGTGAAAAAATAAATAAACAACAAATTTGTTTGGTCAAGATCATTGATGGCTTTGAGGAATAATTGAATAGTGAAATTTTTGAATTCTGAATGAACAGTTTCAAAAAAACATTTTTATTTATGAAGATCAATACCAGTTTGAATATGATTCATATGAAAATGACAACAATTTGTTTTTGAATAACTATTGGTCATGATTGAAAATTGTTCTCTGGTCAGACTGAAAAGGGTTCAAATGTGACTTCACAAAAATGTTTCTAAATATACAAATGTTATCTGCAAAACTAAATAAACCTCTAGTTAGTTGTTTGGAGTTAGGATAAGACTAGAAATAGAGTTATTTGGAAAATAATTGAGTACCTTGGGATTAATAGAGACCCCAAGAGCTCACAACTTTTGGATAAGCCTAAGGCTTTTTTTTTAAATATTCTATGAATTTTTCAACGCAGGAAAGTTGAAAGAAATATTTCCAATGTGAAACATGTTGAAGGTTTTGAAGAAAAATCCTTATAGAGTTTTAACACTCCAGAATTAGCCTGACTGTTGAAATATTTTCTTCCCCTTCCTACTAATTTTGAAACATTCCAGAAATTCAAAAAATTCGGAGTGATGTATGTGTTTGTCTGATTAATCAAAACATTTTTGACACTTGTCACCATTCACATAAAAAGTTCAACGCCAAATATAACAATTCATGAATGTGTCATTCTTTGAACCCCTACAACCTACAATATGCAAAATCATCATTTTTCAATTTTTTATAACAACCCACTCAATTCACACAACTTTTTTTTTGAAAATAATAATTTATTTTGAATCACAAATATGTACACGTGAAAACCTTGCCTAGAACCTTAAAATGATACATTTGAAAAGCATATAACATTTATGAGAATAAACCTATGAAATAAAAATAATGGGAAAATAGAAGATCAAAAAATTGAAAAATAAAATTTGAACTTGAAAAAAAATCAAAATATTATTGAAAATATCATCATAACATCCTAATCAACACCATAATTTGTTTGTATAACCGGACGAAAAGACAGACAACAAGTTGGGAAAAAAGGTTGCGTAGGAAGCTCAAAACTCCGAGCTCCGCCCATAACATTTTTTGTCGCGCTACCTATATAAAACTGTCGAATTTTTTAAAACCATACTAGCAGCAGACAAGGTGCAAACAAATTGAACTCTTTCTAACTAACCCCCCAACCAAAAAATGACACCGTCTCCTGCAAATCACGACAAAGATTTGCCAACTCTTGGAGAGTTGTCAGAAATTTCGATTGCCGATTATGACGTGAGTCTTGTTTTTCTTCTGTTTTTTTTTGTTCTCCGAATATTTTTCATTAAAATCAATAACATTTTCAGGAAAAGAAACACGAAATTAAACCAAAATCGTATTCGCTGCCAGAAAGACGAAAAACTGAAGCAACACAGAGTCGAAAATCAAGACTTGGAACATTCAAAAAATCTGTAAAGCGACAAATTTCTGGGAGTTTGAGAAGGTAAATTTTTTTATTATACGAATTTTAATTCAAATTCAATATGTTTTTTCTAGTATTGGAGCATATGCTGGAAGAATTGCAAAACCTGCAAATGCTTATATTCGATGGAATTTATTATTCACATTTCTCATTTTCCTTTTTATTTCTTCGGCTATTTGGATTCCAGTTATCCCAGCTCTCAATGATTTCGCTTTAGAAATTGTTGTAATTATTTCGATAATCTTGCATATTTTATGGATAATTGCAATTTTGAACGCTTTGAGATATACTTGGAGACTTCGACGATTCGCGAAACACGAAATTCGACTAGACAATGTGAAAAATGAGACTGGACTTTTGGTCAAACATCTTGTTGGACTTTGTGTTTATAAAGAGCCATTGGAACTTCTTATGGATACGATTGATAGTATTGTAACTCAACCAAATGCTAGAAATAAGATTACGGTATTAGTTGGAATGGAAGGTGGAACTCCAGATAAAGATGAAAAGAAACGACTACTTCATGAGAAATATGATTTGAAATTCGAAAAGTTTATTGTAACCTTCCACCCAAGAGGCTTGCCAGGAGATATTCCCGGAAAATGTTCGAATTTCAATTATGCTGCTCGAACAGCTGTTAAAATCTTGAGAGCTGACAAAAATTACCCATTGGAAGAATATGATAACAATGTCGAGCTTTTGGTAACCACCGGTGATTGTGACAGTGTTTTTGGTGATCGTTATTTCGACGCTTTGGAAGAAGATTACTGGAAGATTTCTGAAAAACAGAGAACTTACACTGTCTGGCAATCACCACTTTTCTATTGTATCAATTTGGATCAATCACCATTCTTTGTAAGAGTTACTGGACTTCTTCGTGCATTCTTTATGATGGGTTATTTGATTCCATGGAATATCAATACAATGAGCATCTTCTCATTGACTTTGAAACTTTTTGAGGATGGAGAATATACTCACCCAGGATACCAGGTTTGTACAAGAATTTACTTACTTGGGAAAAAAAAGTTGTAAACAAATATTTGTTTTTCTACTTTTTGATCCCTAATTCAGTGTACAAAATTGACAAAAAATGTTTTTCTTTTATAGATGGACGATATTATTGCGCTTATCCGTTGGTCATTGGCTGTTCGTAAGAAGTGTGTGATCCGAGCTATCCCAGTTGCAACATTATCCGGACCAACTAGTGGAAAGAATTATATTGATGAATGGTATGAATGGGCTCGACAAATTAGACGCTGGACTATTGGAGCAGCCGAAGTTTTCCATTATTTCGCCATCAAATTCTTCCGTCTCCCAGTTTCTGTTTCATTTTCATTCGCTGCCAAATTTGTGTTCTACTACGGTTTTCTTCTTTGCATCGCTTCAGTTTACTCAATCATCGCTCCGATTGTTGTGAGTTTTAGTTTTTCTCTTGATTTCAGAGCTCTTCTTTTTCAAAATAACATTTTTGCAGACCCCCGCAATGTTGAACGCTGTTGACCATGGTGTTCACGGCTTGGTGATTCCAAACAACAAATGTTTCATGATCATTATGTTCAGCTTTTTGGGATTACAATATATCTGGTTTTTCATTGTGTTTTTGGTCAATTATTTGTGCCAGCCGGTGAGTAGTCGACCTAAATTGAAAGATAAGATCTACCCACTTCTTCTTGGGTGGTCTCGTATTTTTCAAAAAAATAAAAAAATAAGTGCAGAACATGATCTCAAGGAAAACAAATCTGTGGAACCGCTTATATGATTTGTTATTTTTCAGGTGTTCCCCCGACAAACAAAAGACAAAACCGGAATAATTCGCAACATTTTCCATCTTTTGATGACCTGGCCAACCTTGGTCATGTACTGTTGTGTTGAATTGGTTGCATTTATGGAGGTAATTTAAATAATAATTATTATTCATATTCATATTCAAATCCCTAATTCTCTTATTATTATTTCAGGTCACAATCCGCGGTAAATCCGTGTGTTCGCATAATGCATCTAAAAAGGATAACCTTGTCGCACCAACGGTCAGTAAACAACCGGATCGAATGGAAGTTTGAACAAATTTCATATATTCTGATTGATTAATTGACATAACTTTGACATAATTTTCTTATGTGTTGATTTTTACTCTCTCTGGTTTTCTAGTTACCAATCATGTCATATCAATATACCTAAATATAGCGGGTTGCAATGTTTTACTGTGATTTAATTTTTAAAAATAGTGCAATATGTGATTTTTGAATGCTTATTAGTCAATAAAGTTTTAAACTTGAACAGTTTTGGTTTCACTGAAAGTTAGCATAAATCTAGTTTTTTCCTTGGATTCACTTGGGATGTAATAAAACTGTTTATCTCTGAAAAATTTGATATAAATATACGAGATTAACAACATAAAGGTAGACTAGAAAAATCTGGAATTTTCAGAATATTTTTTAAAACGAAATTCTCTGAATTAGCTGATGGTCACGTAGTTCACGTGAAAAAGTCTGCGTATATCTAGGCTAATTTGTTGTGATATTTTTCATAACCTTATAATTTATAAACTCGAAAAGTATGACTCAGATTTTCTAAATTTAGAAAAAAATAATTTAAAAAATAACCTGAAGTCTTTTATTTCATTTTTAAAAAATAAGTTTTCCAGTCTACAAACCCCTTATATTTCACAGTTTTCATAAAGATTTCATCAAGTCATCTAAAATTCTTGAGATTGTCCTTTGAATCAGTCATCTCCTTAAAAACAATTCTATAACCGCGACAGGCACGATTTTGCGTAAGATACGATGTCGCAACCATCAGCTTATACTTTTGTCGATTTTCTTAATCTTCATTTCCATCTCATCTTCTTATCATCCCCTTTATTCGTCTTCTTCTTCTCCTCCTCTCATCTGACCTGGATAATAAGTTCGGTGTCACACGCCAAAATAGAATATAAAATGGCGAGATTTAGAAAATTTCATGGATAGGTTGAGTGAAAGGACATTATATGGGGCACCAGGTACTCTCTTTTCTTTTCTCTTCTTGGTAGTGCCGCGCGTTCCGTCTTCTTCTTTCCGTCCGCCCGTATTCTCCTTTTTTACGCGCCTCTATAAACCCTCCCCTTTCGGGGCGCCCTAGAACATAATAGTAGTTGTGTATTCAGGCAGACATCTCAACTTGTGAGTGAGTGAGTGTGTGTCTTCATGCGTTCGATTATTGTATTTTTGGCTGTTTCAACAGCATTTGCTTCGGCTGTTATTAATGATCCAGATGTTCCTGTTGTAATTCATCTCGCTCCACAACAACATCGACCAAGATTCTTGGGAAATGTAAGTTTTTTGTCAAAAAACCTCTGATCATCCCTGTTTTCCAGGTTGTTCCACCACGCGCCGTTGAGTCTCGCGCTCAAGCCGCCCCAAGTGTCTCCCAACAAGCCGCCATCGCTGTTCCACAAGCTCAACAACCAATTGCTCTTCCACCAGCTCCACCAGCAGCTCAACAACCAGTTCTTCCAGTCGCCGCTTCAGGAGATCAAACCTTTGTTGCTCGCACTGGAGCATCTGTCCCACCCCCACCACCAGTCACCATTCCACCAGATGTTCAAAATCAACTCATCAAATTCTTCGGACTTGATTCATTCGGAATTCCAGGACTCACTGGAAACCATCCAAATGGATTTGCCGGAGCTGTTCAAGAATTGAGATCTGCCGGAATTCCAGTTCAAGGACTCCCAGCTGAACATGTCAACCCAGATGCGGTTGCTGCCAAACCAGCCGACGATGTTCTTGCTCAAGCTAATCCAAACTTCCAAGATCAATTGACCCAACTTCAACAAGCCGCTTCAAACCCAGGACCATACAAGGGAGGAGCCAGTCTTCCACTTCCAGCTGAAACTCCAGGAGAGAATGGATTGATCGGACTTCTTTCAAACTCAATTAGAAAGGTTATCAAGGACAGTGAGTTATTTTATTCTTTAGCTTTTTTTGAAAACTTTTTGATCTAATATGCTTATTATTTCAGCCGGAGTCGGAGACGCTCTCTCAAACTCTCTTCCAAACTTGTTGGGATCTGGAGCTGAAGCCGCTGCACCATCTGCTGCCGCTGGATCATCAAACATCCGCCGTGCCCCAACCGCTCAATCAAACGATGATGAAGCCACCCAAGTCGCCACCGCTGCCTCCTCTTCATCTTCAAACATCCGTCGTCAACCATCAGCTGCTCAAAGAGCTCTCTCTGGATTCGCCGCCGCTCTCGGAGGAGGTGGTAGCAACTCACCAACTCACGCCGGACTCCCAAGAATCCCAGGAATCCCACTTCTCCCAGGAGGTATCCCAAGAAATTCGCAAGGACAAATTGATATTGTTAACTTGATTGGATCTGTCACCAGAAGAGTTTCAAATGGAACCACTTTGGCTGATGTTTTGCCACCAGAGCAATTGCAAACTTTGGCTGATAATGTTACTGATGCTTTGTTGCCAGAAACACCAAACGTTGATCTCTCCAAATTCATGGGAAGATGGTTCGAAGGAATCAACTCACCAAGAGCCACTGAACAAAGATGTGTTGTCCATCATTGTAAGTTCCATAAAAGTGAAAGAGTTCTGAACCTAAAATAATTTTTTTTCCAGACGGAGGATTGACCCGCAACGACAAGACCGCCACTTTCACCTCCCTCAAGATCTACAGAGAAGGATCAGAATTCGGACCAGTCAAATACTCAATCGGATACGCTTTCCGTGGAGGAAACAAAGATGCTATGCTCCAACTTCACTCTTCCGAAACCTCAGATGCTCAACCATTCTGGATCTACAAACTCGGACCAGAGGGCAAAGATCCATTCGGAAATCCACAATATGAATACGCTATCATCTCAAACTGGGTCAAATACCCGGTAACAGTTCTTGTTCGCGACCCAGATACTTTCAAGGCCAAATATCAAAAGGAGGTTTGTGAAAAAAAAACATGAATTTGATATTTTATCAATGAAAAATATTATTTCAGGTTCTCCGCTGGTTAGAAGATCAAGGATTCATCAACGGATTCATCCGCGCTTTCAATTTGTTGCAACCAGCTGGATACAGCAGTTGTCAATATGCTGACAGTACTTTCGAAGTCTTTGGAAAGTAATCAGGAATAAATTTAAATAATTGTCGTTTCCTTATTCTTCTTCACCCCAACGGGCCATTGAAAATCATTTGTTATGACCTCCTTTTTGTTGTACATTTTAATAATAATTATAATAAGTATTATGAAATTTAATTATGATATCTTTAATAATGCTAATAAATTGATTTGTTTCAAAATATCGTTTTCCTTCCCAAATAATTCCAACAAAACCATCGAAAAATCTTCACGTTCATACAGTTTTTGAGTATGTGTCAGGCACGAAACAACAAAATCGACTAGCTTGAAAAAATGGGCGGAGCTAACCCGAAGGTCGTGGGTGGATGAAAAGAAAAGAAGACGAAGAAGGGAATTGTGGAGAAGAAGTAGAAGTGCTTTCTTTCATAGTTGGTTTTGTGAGACTCTAGAAAATGTATCTGCTGAACGTTGTTGCTGTTTTGATAAGTCTTGGCGCGGTTTCGGCGATCGGCGAAAATGCGGTAAGTATTTTAACGGGAAGGAAATGGATAGAAGTTCAAGGTTGCGCAATAGTTTTGATTGATTTTTATCTTGTTTTCGGAAAAAAAGTTCGTGGATGCGAAATTATCTTGAATTATTTTTGAAATAATTTCATATCTGATGGAATTTCGAGGATTCTTGTGAATGAATAGAAATTGGGAAACAAAAATCGGGAAGCTTTGAAATTGTTTATTTTTCTGAGTTTCTGAATTTCAGAGAATTATTTGAGCTCTCCAGTTGATTTTTAAGAAACATGATTTTGAATATCGGGTTCAAAATAGTGTCCTTGAATTTTTAGAATTATGAAAATTTGTTTTGAAATTTCATTTGTCACAATTTATTTACATATCAATAAAGATTCTAGTATTAAAATGTTTGATTCAAGTATGGAAAAAACAAAAACTTTCCAAAGAATTCTGTTATTTGACCTTATTTTCAAAAATATCCAAAAGTTCCAAATAACCTTCAAAGTTCAAATACACAATTAATTATCCCACCAAAATTAAATGTAACAACACAACTAAAACCAGGTCAACCTAAACCAAAAACAAACCCTAATTACAGATGGATTTCCAAGCAATTACCGGAATTATCGGAGGAATCGGAAAAATGTTGGAAAGCAAAATGGAAACTGTTAGTGTTCCAGCTGATATGATTATGGGAAAATGGTTCCAAATGTACAAAGCGGCTATGAATTTTGATGTTGTTAGAACTCAAATGTTCTGCCCAGTTGCTTACTGTAAGAAATTTTCAGAGAAAAAAAGAAATGCTTGATTGAAATATGATTTTTCAGTCTCACCAAACCCAATCATGGGAGAAGAAGGTTTCTCAATGCAAGAAGCTTATAGAGTAGTCTCGAAGACCGGACCAATTGAAACATACAAAAGAGATATGAACAAAGTTGGACCAGGACAATACTGGATGTACACAGAAGAATATTTCTACCCAAGACAATGTTCGTTTGAAACTTTTAATGAAAAAAAAGTCATCGTTTCATTTCAGTTTATATTATTGGAGCTGGACCAAGTTTCGATAACTCTACTCAAAATTCCACCGAGCCACTTCAATATATCATTGCATCAGATGCCAATCGACTTTCACTTATGGTTTATTCCCGTGATCCTCTTGTATTTTTCCAGGTCAGTTTATCGAAAAACAGCAAAACTAGGTTACCTTATCATCTTTTTTAATGACCTAATTTAAAAGATGAAAATGAAAGTGTGTATGTTTTGCAGAAATACAATAAAGAAGTCGTCGAATTCATGAACAGTCATGGATTTGGTGGAAACGTTTTCTGGAACAGCCCTAAACCAATCTATCAAGGACCTGATTGTGAATGGCCATCAGAGAAAGAAGTTTTCGCTAGAAGGTGTGTAAGAAAAAAATAGAACTGGAAAATAATTGGGGAGAGAACGCAAGATTAAAAGATGGAACGGGGATTTGAACACGAATCTGGTATTAGATTTGTTTTTGAGAAGGCTTTGAAGGTTCGGAAATAATTTTCAGATTCTGAAAGGATGTTGGAGGGTTCGACTTTTCAAAAATAATTCCGAAAAGGCCATTTTTTGACAATTTTGTATTGAAACTTACTACAATTTTTCATTAAAATAGTTGTGATATTTGAATCTGGAGCTTCTGAATTTTTCAATCAAAAATTCCCACAATTCAGTCTTTTAATCTTAGCTAGGTGCTTCTCAATTATCCATATCGAATTCCATTTCAAAAAAAATATCAAAACTCTCAATCCCTTTTTCAAAATTCCTGTTTTCAGAGTTCTCAAAAACCAAGAGCTCGCCGAACGTAGCAAGAACGGAACATCTGAGCCAATTCTTTCTGGAATGCCACTCGCCGACATGATCCGCGATCCAAAACGCACATTGGAACGATTAGTTGGATCGAAAGCGCTTCAACAAGCTAACGCCGGAATGACCGTTGGGCCACCAGCCAGTCATGAATAATTGACCTCAATTTTCACTTTTTTTTTCCGATTCGTACGCATTTTATTTTCCTCATTCTTTTTAATAATAATCATAATAATAATAATTTTTAATAATAAACGTAATAATAATAATTATGATGATAATATTTACGATTTTAATGTATCTCATTTGCTGTTGAGTCATAAATTTGTATTTTCCAATGTTTTTCGAATATTTCGCAGATCTTGGGATAGTATCGCGGAGAAAAGAGGGCAAGTGAGATAAATAGACCGGCGACAACAAAAAAAAAGAAGAAAAAGAGGTTGGGCAAAGAAAAGGAAGAGAAAAGAAGAAGAAGAAAGTAGTTGTTCATTCATTCTTCATTCCTATCGAATGCTCTCAATCGTTCTACCGCTTCTAGTCGCCGTTTCAACGGTGACAGCGCAACTTGACGCGTTTGCCCTTCCATCGGCTCAACGATATGCTCCAAAGCCAACTGTGCCACCAGAGTTCTCCAAATATTTCGAATTAGATGGACATGCTCGCGAATTGGTTGATTCGTTGTTGGGACCAAGACCAGGAGGTTTGTTCCCGGAGAAGACTTTTGAGATTGGAGAGCCGGTGAGCACTGGAGGAAATAATCAACCAACACATGTTGTTTCGAAGTTGGAAAGAACTTTGGAATCGTTCTTCACTGCTCCAGAACAACCAGCTGGACAAGCTCTTCCACCTGGTTTTGGATCGGGGTTCTCTTTGTTGAACAATAACAAAGCTTTGACCCAATTTGGAGATATTCGTAGATCTCCAGAAGCCAAGCCAGAAACTAAAGAAGCTGAAGATGAAGTTGAAGGATCTGGAGAAGCCAAATCTTCAATTGGAGGAATTCCAAAGGTAATCTAGTGTTTTTTGAAAAATGTTTTCAAATCCAAAATTAACTTTTTCAGATCTTCCCAAAACTCCCAAAGGCTCCAGTCAATGAGCCAGACCCAAACATCTACAAGAAGCCAACCATCTCTGTTAGCAATCAAGAAGCTGCCGCTATCCCATCAATTCTTACCGCTCCATCGGTTCCAGAAGGAGGATTCTTGCCACAATCTGATATCCGTAGATCACCAGAATCAGTCTCAGAAGTCTCGCACTCAATTGATGACAAATCTGATGTTTTGAACACTGAAGAAGTGAGTTTGAAATATGTAGATCAAATTTCAAAACATTGATTTTTTTCAGTATGGAGGTCTTTCTGACGATTCAAACTCTGGAAGTGGAGGTCTTATTGGAACCATCTTCAACCTTATCAAACTTGGATCAAAGAAATCCAACGAAAAAACCTCTGACGGAAAGCCTGCCCCACCATCACTTCCAGCTCTCGATGACAAGAACGCCATCGGAAAAGCTGTCTCAGGACTTCTTGGAGGAGAAAACAGCCCACTTCCAGGAAAGAACATTTTGTCGAGCATGCTCTACAAAACTCTTACCAGCGGATCAATTGACGTGAGTTCAAAAACTAGTCGAGATTTATCTGAAATAAAATATTTTTGCAGAGCAACGATACTATGCCATTGACTGAAAGAAAGGGAAATGAATCAATTGTTCTTACCCCAGCTCAATCTGCTGCTATCAGCGAGAACTTGGAAATGATTCAAAATTTGATTATCCAACCATCATCACCACTCTGTACCTCAAAACCAGAACCAGTTGAATTCGATTTGGATTCATTCATGGGACAATGGTATCAAGTTGTCTATTCCCCACCTTTGTCAACTGGACCATGTAGCATGGTTGCTTATAAGAAATTGAATGATGTTGGAAACGGAGGAGTTGGAAGTATCTTCGAAGTCTTCGAATACACTACTGATGGAACACCATACGGAAAACCAACAATCTCATCAGGATATTCAATTATCAAGTCCCCAGGAGAATTGATCTTCCGTACCACAGCTAACCAAGATGATGTAACTGTTCACGTTCTCCACGTTGGACCAAAAAATGCTGATGGCCAATATGAATACGCTGTGATGTCAACAAATTGCAATTTCCCACTCTACGTTTTTGCTCGTGATGCTACACTTTACAAACAAAAATACGAATCATCTGTCAATGAATATTTGGAGAAGAAGGGTTTGGTCAATGGATTCTCCCGTTTGTTGAATATCGTTGCTCCAGTTGATAACTCGATGTGTGTATTCCCACCATCACTTTTCAATATCCAAGGTTAATTGGATATTTATACCTTTAATAATGTTCTCTTTAATAATAATTTCATCTTTTTTATCTCTTCAATCAATACCCTCGGGTTTCTCATCCCCTCCCAAAAAAAAAACAGGCCGTGGCACTGTGCATTCACTTGTAAATAAAGTTTTTTTTTTCCCAAATCCCCTTCCCCCAGTTTTTTCTAAACAACCCCCTTAATAATAATAAGATTCTTCGCCTAATAAGTCATCATTTTTGTTTTATTTTTTTCAATATGTTTTTGATAATAAAGAATATTTTGTTGTATTTTCAAAATCTTTTCGGGGTTAGTGGGTCAGGAATGTTAAAAAGTTTTTTTTTCGTTCTGGTGATGGCACCGATGTTAACATGACATGTATACCGATTGATGGATTAGCACGTTTGATTGAAATTGAAAACAAGGTCATCGTTATTTGTACTTTTTAAGAAACATGGGGTGGTTGGATTGAAATCAGGGGTTTTCAGAAAGATATTGGGGGTCAATTTTGGTGGGAACATTTGAAGGAATAGGTTCCTTTAACAATCCACATAGCTTCAATTCAGTAAATTTATTTTGAAAATTTCTAAATACTGGCTGCAAATGTTTGAAGTTCTTGTAGAAAATCTGAAAAAGCTTTTGAACATAATTTTGTTTCAACAATTTTTCCATACATTCATCCAAAAAATAAAACTTTTATTGAAATTCTTTAAATTTAGAATCAATTGCCAAGATCTAGACCAATAAAATTTTTCTGGTAGATCTGAAACCCTTCTCTAATTTTTCTGTTCATTTTTTCAAATCAGATGTCTATGTATTCTCAATCTGGTCAGTTTTGTAGAACCTTGATGCTTTGAACACCAAAACAAAAATAATCCGACTTCTAGCGTTCCAGTTGATAGATTTTTTGATCCGAGTAATTATTCAGGTTTATTTCAAGCTTCAAACAAATAACCTGACTTGTTTTTCAAAACATATACATATACAATAATTATATTCATGTTCTCAAATGAACAAACTTTTAGGTTATGGTCATTTCATTTCACTTTTGACCGCATGATCCAATTATCTTCAAACATGCAAATGTATATTGAAACTGTTTGTAATTGGACACGAAATTCCGAAATTGTCAACAACATCCAGCCATATATTGAAAATTGCGGTCAATTCACTTCCAAGTGAAAGTTTGTTTCATCTAGGATTTGTGGGAGGAGAGGAAGGAGAAGAAAAGAAACGAAACAGAAGAGATTAGGTGAAAGGGGGTCAATTGTGTTGTGCTTGTCGCCATTCGAAAAGCCAGTTGATCCACTACCGATTCTTCCTGTCTTGCCTGCTGATTCAACAAACAGAAAGAATAATGCAATTATTGGCTTCTTTGGCCGTTTTGGCTTTGGCCACATGTGTGAATGCAGGTGTTCAAGATGCACCAAGTTTTGATAGCCTGCCAACTGGAATCAGTCCAGCTGTAAAGGAAGCTGCTCTCAGCACCGATGCAAAAGACAAAACCCTTGTTGAAATTGGACAAGTCGCTGAATCTATTCTTGATAAACTTGGAATGGGAACCAGAGATGAATCAAATATCAGACGTGCTCCACTTCCATCATCATTCTTTGGAGTAAGTTGAAAATTTCTATAAAAGTTCTCAACTTGATAAAATTTTCAGAGCGAAGATGTCAACCAAGTTATCGATGATGCTAATGCTAACCGCGTTGATTTACAAGGAATCACATCTGGCCAAATCCCAGGACTTGCTCCAATTCCAGTCCCAGGATTCCCAGGACCACAAGATGCTCCAGTTATTCCAGGAGTCAACACAATCCCAGGATTGAGCAATTTCAATTATCTCGTCGGACAATTGTTCCCACAAATGATTCCACAAGCCAACAGTTTGCTCGGCTCCTCAATCAGTCGTATTTTGCCAAAAGACTCTGCTAAAAATATTGCCAAGGATGTTTTCCGTGCAGTTCATCCAGCTGCTGAAAATGTTGATGTTGCTCGTATGATGGGAAGATGGTTCCAAGTTATCAATTCGCCACATGTCATCCGTGAAGCTTGTACCGTATCACACTGTGAGTTTAGGCAAGATTTTTTTAGCGAAAAGGTTTCTGATTTTTTATTTTTCCAGTCGGAGCTCTCACCAACAACACCTACTCTGCCTCATTCACCATCTTGAAGTTCTACAGAGAAGGAAACCCAAGTGGATCACCGAGGTTCGTTTGATTTGAAAATAAAATTAAGTTTCAGAGTTCAAAATTCAAAATTTCAGATATGCTCTTGGATATGGATTCAAATCTGGAGAAACTGGACAATTCGTTCTTCACAACAGTAACTCTGCCGATGCCGAACCTTGTGAGTTTTGTGAAAAGAAAATTTCGAACATAAATCAATTTTTTTTCAGTCTGGGTGATCAAGAAGGGACCACTCAATGAGTACAAACAATACGATTATGCAATTATCTCAACCTGGGTTAGATTCCCAGTATTTGTTATTGCTAGAGATCCAGAAAGATTCAGACGTGAACACATGAAAAATGTATTGCAATTCTTGGAAGATAACAGTGAGTTTTTCTAAAAAAAATAGGAAACCTTGAAGCTCGTACCTGAAAAAAATCATATTAATTTTGTGAATTTCAGACTACATCAATGTTATGACCAAAGCATTCAACATGATCTCGCCAGTTGATTATGAAGCCTGTCAATATACTCCAACATTCTCAGGAACTGGAAAATAATCGTCATTTCTCCCTCTAATAATAATAATGAATCCAAAAATTAATAATCCTTTGTTCTCGGGTATTTTCCCTCTCTATTTCTTAATTCATCAAAATTTAACTTTACCAATGAATGTATTTTTATTTTGATAAAATCATTGAAATTGATGAAAATGCGTATGTATGTCAAAGATAAACATTTTGTAAATTCGTTGAAATTGAAAACTGGAACAAGGTCGGATACTGAATAGCGAAAACAACGGATCAAATAAAGCGGAGAAAGAAATACGCCGATTAGATTTATGGATATCACCCAGAGAATATTGAAATAAAAATCGAGGGGTCAAACATTTCCGCCGTGACTGAAGTTGGCTGATTCTAGGTCTATTCAAACAGCTTGAGAATGGATTTTCATGGGATTTCCATAGAAAGCGCTCATGTTCAGAAGTTTACACAAACTGGATGTGAAAATATTTTTTTAATTCATGAAAACATCTACAAAAGGAATAATAATATTGCAGAAAATCATTCATACACAAAGATGTGAATTGTTTTTTAATTTTGAAAATATTATTCATGTCTTTAGAGAAAACTTGGTTTCATATTTTTTAATAACAAAAACAGATAGAACAATTTCAAAACACCTTTAATTTTGGTTTTACGAGAAAAATTCCAGCTTACATGTTTTTTTTTTCAGAATTCTACTAACTTCCACATTACTTTGTCTTGCATTCATCGGGAATCACAGAGCGAACAAAGAACATTTAATAGAAATTTCCCTATGAAAAGATTAATCATACACTTCGACTAATTCTCTGAAAAAGAGTCTTTATCACTACATTTTTTCAGAACTCTAATCCCAAAAGTATTTTATTAGAGATTACTCACTATTTATCAGCTATTATACTTTGTCCTCTACAAACTCCAAACCTCTAATTTTCTCTTTTGATAAACGTGCTCATTTATCCCCCTTCCAGTTAATTATAGTACACATTTTTCAACATCTATAGTTCTCATAAAGGGCCTTTTATTTTGCTCTGTGTGTTACTCGCGCAAGCTTTCTTTTTCTCTTTTTCCTCGTCCTTTTTTTTTTCATTTTTGCTAAATCGATACTTCTTTTTTTCGTGTCTCTTTTTTTGTTTTTGTTGCTCTGTTTCTTCTTCTTCTTCATTATTTAGAAGCACAAAATGAATTTGACGAAAATTGGAAAGCCGCTCGAATATTGGATTGGTAAGTACTACTAGAGATAGCTAGATAGCTAGACTCAGTGTTCGACGATGGATGTTTTAGGGCGAGCAACGGATCCGTATTTGGAGAAAAGTGATCGTGACAAATGTTTGGAGATTCTGGCGAATAAGATAAATACAGAAGCTGAAGCTGCAACAATTTGTGTTGATTTATTGGCACATAAAATTGTTAGCCCAGATCAAGATGAAGCATTGACCAGTATTCAGGTAAGATATTTTTAGTCTGTTTCCTGTTTTTGAGCAATTTTTTGTAATTATTTTGAAAGTACATATCTCTTGATTGTTTACAGACGGTGGATTATCTCATGAGAAATTGTGGCGATAAAGTTCATACGCGTGTTGGAAAATATAGATTCCTCAATCAACTTGTCAAATTATTAACTCCTAAATATTTGGGATCACAAACGTCCAAAGAGGTCAAAAATCTTGTGATCTCTCTAATGTATACATGGCAGAAATCAATAAAACATATAACAAAATATAAAGAAGTCTATTCAACTCTTAAATCGAACGGATTAATTACCGAAGATCCGAAAATCCCCGAGGATCAGATTACAGTAATCCCACGTAAGCTCATATTTTTCATCGTTTTTTTATAGTCTAAAAAAATATATTTTTATGGCTTAAAAAATGGTTGCTAGGCAGATGAAATTAAAGCTAGAAAGCGTCTGTCATAATTGTTTAAATGTCTTCAGCTCCACCGGCTCGTTGTGCTGTTTTTGAGGATGAAGAAAAATCGAAATTACTCAAAACTCTACTTGCTAGCAGTAATCCGGATGATTTACAAATGGCCAATCAACTCATCAAAAGCTTAGTCAAAACGGTTGGTGATACATTTTTATGTTGAAAAAAAAACAATTTTTGATCATCAAGTTATTTTTAGGAAGAGAACAAAATGGCAAAAAAACATGACAGAAGAAAAAAATTAGATCAAGCCCTCTTCTTATGTAAAGCAATTGAGCAAATGAAAATGGAAAAGACAGCACATGCACTAGGACTCGGATCTTTTTCACCTGAAGCAGATACAAAATTATATGTGAGTGCTTGATGTTTGATTTACTCTAGACAAAATGAGCATTTTCAGCGAGCTTATGATGAGTTGAGCACTCTACAAAACATCATTTACAATTATGCTACTGAACTAGCTGAAGCAAATGATCCATGTTTGGAAGAAGTTTTGAGTATCAATGATACTATTAATAAAATTATGCCCGATTTCAAAGATGATCTTGGAAGAAATCGAATGGATAAGAAAGATAAATACTTGTGTAAGAAAGTCTCTTCAAAAATGCATTCAAAATATTCTATTTCAGTACTTATGGATAACGAAGAGTTGGTAAATTTGAATTCTCCAATTGTTGAAAAAGAACCCGAAGAATCATCAAGTGTAGATTGTCTTGATGGAAGTTTGTTAAATAATATGATTGAAACTGATCATGGAGATGATGTTCACGATGTTCCATTTATTGGATTCGATAAACATATGACTCCTGTTCTTCCTAGAAGATCTGGTCGAAAAACCATACTACCACCTCCACCAGCTGATAATTCAATCTTCGAAACTGATTATCTTGCGGATCAACGTCTCCCAGAAGCTCCAAAACCACCAACATTGAATCAATTGACAGCGGCCAAACCAATCTTGCCATTGGATAATTTGGACACCTTGTTGCCTTCGTTATCCCCATCCAGTCAAAGTAGCAATGCTTCTCCGGTTCATTTTGAAGATGAGATTAAACTTGAGCCAAACTTCTATGTTTTGCGTAAGTTTCAAGGCCTAAAAATAATTTTTAAAAATATTTTTTTCAGAATCAAAAGATCCATTGATTGTTCTTGATAATGGTGGAGTCAGAGTTTTGCTCTATTCCTGCGATAAGAATTTCTCATATGTTGTCGCAATCTTTAATTCAAATGTTGAGGAGCTCAAAGATGTTTCTCTTGAATTCAAAACATCAGATAAGGTAACTTAGTTCCCATGTTTCTCATATATCTTTATTTTTTCCAGAATGCAACTGTTCGCCTTCAAAAATTCAAGAAAAACTTGAAGGGATTCGATCTCACTGGCTCTCAAGAATCAATCAATCTTTTGATGAAAATCATTCCATTCAAAGATGTCAAAGAAGTCGACATTGACTTCTCATTGAACTATGTTCGCAAAACTGAGCAATCGATAAGCGGCAATTTCTTATTGCCCCTCCGATAAAAATCCAGAAAAAAAATAACATTTCTTCCAAATATCATTTTATTTCGCCCGTCTAACGATATGTATGTATAGATTTTTCCCCTGTCTCCTGGTTCGATTTATTTATTTGTCTTCATTCTTTTTATTTTTCTTACACTGTGGGAATTTTGCTTTTAGTTCTTTGGTTAGCAGCAAACCTTGTGATGTGTTTCTTTCTAAATATTGGAAAATGAATAAAAATTATTGGTGTTCAGAGAATTTCAGATATTCGTGAAGCTTCGTTAGTTTTCTCAATTTTTCATGTTTGTCTTGTAATCAGAAAGAAAATCTTTATCATTTCAAGAAGAATAATCAAGTTTTCAGAAAATTTTGAAACAATCTTTCAAAAAAATCTACAACTGTTTACAAAACACTTGTAAGTACATATTTTCCTCTCTGAAAAAATAGTTTCCGCAAAAATAAATCACCACATGATATTTTCAGTTTCCCACTTCCATTGAGTAGAACCTCGGTAGGGACTTTTGCTAAATCTGATTCAACAGTCGAAAATTTCTTCTGTGTTTGAAAAATTCTAACTCAAAATTGAATGAATATTTGTTCCTTCTTTCTGAATTTTCTCATGAAAAATCGATGATTTCCAAATGTTGTCTTCGATTTTCCAATAAACAATTTGGTTTTCTCACATTATTATAATTCAAATCAAATTCCTCTCTTCGCGCCTGACGAAACGTGTCCAAAAAGGATACTGTACAAAAATTTTCATATAAAAATTCCCACCCAAACCAAAATTTCGATTCAGGCGGGAAGCTAATAAAAATTTTCAAATTTTTTTTATTTCACTGCACATTTTTTTTCACGAAAAAGTGGAGTGTTCATTGACTTTCAGCGGATTTTGATGAAAAGATTCAAAAATGTTCAGAATTTCACGCTGCACAATTGTTATTCTTAAAAAATTTTCACGCTGCACAAAAACTTTGGGACACTCTCTCGCCAAGTGTGCCTCTCTTCCATATTCTTCTCTCGAAATATTCCCTCCCATGATTTCATCAAAAACGTTTCCCAAACGACACTCCTTCATCGCGTTGCATATTGTTTAGCGAGCGTCCCTGTGAGTTGTCTCATTCGAGCGCATTTCCTCCCCTCTCCCCCCTCGTTCACTATTTTTTCCTTCTTATTTTTTCCGCCTCGCTAACCTTATCAATAAATTCTTTCATTTTATTTTTCTCAAACCACCAAAATTTTATTTTCATCTGTCTTTTCGTTTTTCATTTGTTATGTTGCATTTATTTTTTTGAAGAAAAAATATTTTTCCAGGTAAAAATGCCCAGCTTTACTCAACGTGCTGATGAGAGCAGTGGAATGGTCTTGCTTTCGGGCAATTCGCATCCAGATTTGGCGAAACTTGTTTCAGAGTATGTTTACTTATAGAATTCTCAAGGATCTTTATTAAAAATCAATCAATATATTATTTTAGCCGTCTTGGTATTCGCCTTGGAGATGCAACTGTTTACAACAAAACAAACAGAGGTATATTGTTTTTCGTAAATCAATAAATATATTTTGTTCTATTTTCAGAAACTTCTGTTGACATCAAACAATCTGTTCGTGGAAAACACGTCTTCATTATTCAAAGTGGATCCAAGTATGTTTGACAGCATTGAAACATCAAAAAACTATTTTTGATTGTTTCACTATGAAACAAAAAAAATGATAAGAGTGCATTGGATTAAAAAAAACATTTATTGATCGACTAATGTTTTCAGAAATGTGAACAATGATGTTATGGAACTTCTCATCATCATCTATGCTTGCAAAACATCCATGTCAAAAACAATCACAGTTATTATGCCATATTTGCCATATTCGAAACAATGTCGTATGCTCAGAAGATCATCAATTCCAATGAAATTGATTGCTGAAATGATTTGCAAAGCTGGTGCAAGTCGATTGGTTTCACTTGATTTGTACAAAAAGGAGATTCAAGGATTCTTCTCATGCCCGGTTGACAATTTGAGAGCTTCGCCTTTCCTTTTGCAATACATCAAGGAATATGTGAGTTTTTTTAAAAATAATTCTCTTGAGAAAATATAGGTATAGCTTGTAGTTTTTTATTTTGAAAAATCGAGAGAAAATATTTTTAGCTAATTTAATTTCCGCTATAATCTTCTTTGATTTCAAATTTCATTCACATTTTTTCCAGATTCCTGATTACAAAAACGCGATCATTGTGGCCAAATCACCTGGTGTCATGAACAAAGCGACTTCTTACGCGGATCGCCTTAGACTTGGTATGTTTTTTTTCAGAATCTTTATATTGGAATCTCATAAATTCCAAATTCGACTGATTAAATTTTTCAGGTTGTAAGTTTTTATAAAACTAACAAATCTCCTATCTGGTAATTTTATATCTATATACTTATCATTACAATTTTCTCAACTACAATTTTCATAATTATACAACATAATCCAAAAACATTCTCAAACCACACTTGCACTTGTTGTGTCTTTCCAACTTCTTCCTCTTCTTTCTCTAGTGACAAACAAATACAAAATGTAAAATGTGATCACATCTGATTAGCACTTGCAGAAATACAATTAGATGTTGTTTTGGTGAAAAGAGTTTTGTGATTTCAGGTGTGGCTGTTATTCATGGTGAGCAAAAAGATTCAGAAGAATCGGGACTCGAAGATGGTCGCCAATCACCACCACCTAATTTGGCTACTTTCGAGCTTTTCCCATGTAAGTTGAAAGAAAAAATGAAAACCAATACTATGGTTGGGTTGGATGGGACATTTTTGAAACAAAAACGGGCTGAACCAAATTTTGAAAAAAAACAATCCAAAAATCATTTGGGAGAACTTTTCTTCACACATTTCCATTTTTTTTATCTTGGCTAAGAATGTTCTTTTGAGATTATCTTTGAGATCAGTAGAATCCAAATTCATTCTGAATACTCTCACCAACATTTGAAATCTAAATTTTAGTAGTTGAATAAAATATAAAATTTGATTAGGTTGGTCAAATTTCAAGATCAATTTTAGTTCTATAATTTCCAAATTTTTGTCCGATCTTGGCCAAGTGATAAAAGATCTGAAGTGTTCCAACGATTGTCTGAACCCTATTTCCGAAAGTCCTATTCCGATCATCCTTGAAGACCACTTCACCATTATAAATCATCAATTTCTAGCTCAACAACCAAAACAAAAGCCTCCACTCAGTGTTGTCGGAGATGTTGGTGGAAGAATCGCAATCATGGTCGATGATATCATTGACGATGCACAATCATTCGTCGCGGCTGCCGAGGTTTTGAAAGCCAGAGGAGCCTACAAGATTTATGTGTTGGCTACACATGGTGTTCTCTCATCTGATGCTCCTGCGCTTCTTGAAGCCTCGCCAATTACTGAGGTAAATTTTGAGGATAAAATTTCAGTAGTGTTAAAGATTTGTTAAGCCAATTTAATCTTGAACCTAGATATCCAATCTCAAAGGTCATCGTACTTTTTCTAATTAAGCCATAAGCTCTTGGTTTTAGAGAAAAAATATATATCTCTATGGTTACATCCCGTATATATTTATGTAGATTTCTATGGTTTCCCAATGAAACCCCGAAATATATTACCCTTCAAATGCGTTGAGCAGCAAAAATGCTCCCAGAAATATTTATTTCGAAAAAATCTTTGCCCTCTTTCAACTGTTTGTTTATTTTGGAAGTGACAGCTTTTGTGAAAGATGAGAATTGGCTTCTAATGCGCAATGAAAACTTTAGAGAATGTTCAGTTCTAAAAGTCTTGTTCAAAATAACATGGCACGCCCTTTTGAACATCAGATTCGAGAGATACGCAGAACACATCTCCAAGAGTAGTACAAAACATCGTAGTTCAGTCTCGAATTTTTGTTTTGACGGGAATAATATTTTTACCTTTTTTTGAATTTGAAAAATGTTTTCCCGCGCTATATAGTTTCCGAATTAAATTTCATTCGTTGGATTTCTCTTTAAGAATCTTCCCGCTTTCTCAAATTACCCTATAGAAGGCCAACCATAAAAATGAAAAAAATAAAATAAAAATGAACATATAAAAAGTTTGCTGCGCTATGACGTAATATTCTCTTGTCCTTTCCCGTTTGGAAAACGGATGAAAACCACAGATTAACATTTTGCTATAATGAATATGTAGTCTTGATAGAAATGTGAAAATCACATGTGAAAATGTGTTATTTTATAACTTTTTCCTTGAGAAATAAAACCAGAGAGATTAGAATTTGATCATACATATTTTGCAAAACGAAATGAAATCTGATTGAAATTCCTTATCAAAATGTTTGAGATAAAAGCAGAACAAAACGAAACAAATAAATCAAATGTTGCGTATAAGATATGTCACGTTCAATATTTTTATAGGTAATTGTGACAAACACTGTTCCTCACGATTTACAAAAAATGCGTTGTCACAAAATCAAAACTGTTGACATTTCACTTATGCTCTGCGAAGCAGTTCGTCGTATTTATCACAACGAATCCATGGGTCAATTATTCCGCGATATCACTTTGGATGATTGAAAACAACAAAAATGTTATACTTTATCCCTATATTTTGTGTGTGTGTGTGTTCACATTTTCTTCAATGCGGTGTTTTATTTTCTTCCTCCTCTCTCCTATCCTAGTTTCTCCCTTTTCATTTTATAGCTTTTTCGTATTATGTTCATTCCACTTGATTCTTCATATTTTTCATTTTTGCATACCACAAAAACCCCAAATAAATTGGTTTTCTCTTATCTTCAATTTTTTGCTTCTGTGGTGTGCTGAAGAATTGAATGTCTCTTTTTTGCCGAGAAGAAGAGTGAAATCAATAACAGCTGAGGATCATCTTTCAGCAATTTTTCATTTTGGTTTTTTCTGTTTTTTGTTTATTTTAAAATCTCAAAATGCCCTGCCCAATGAATTGTTTGCCTTTTTCTGATGGCTGCTCTGTGTACATATTATTTTAGCACTATTTACATAACTTTTAGCGTCCTAGGTTAGCGTCCTTTTATTTTAGCAGACGCGATAACCACAAGAGCGTGCTTTAATCGAATTCTCTTGTTCTTTTCCAATTAAATTATAGGTTTCGTAAATTTTTCGATAAAGAATGGTTTATCTTTTTCCTTTGATTTTCCCATAGTGTTATTTTATCAATTTTGAAACAAATGTGTGTGTTTTGAAAATGCGTCATAATTTATTTTATTTCTCATTTTTTTCAAAGTTTTCTTTCTCTCTTCCCTCTGTTTCTCTCGTCGAAAAATATATCAGCCTTACATTTTTTCTAATCCCCTATCAATATATTATAACAAAATAAAATAAAATAATATTTTCAGCTTTTCAAAAAAAAATGAAACGCAAAAAAACTTCATTCATCAAGCGACACATTCCAATTCTTGATTGGTTGCCAAAATATGATATCAAAGAAAATTTGATAAATGATATTGTTGGTGGACTTACCGTTGGTTTCATCCATGTTCCTCAAGGAATGGCCTATGCTTCTTTGGCTGGTTTGAAGCCAGTTTATGGACTGTATACCAGTTTGTTTCCTGGATTGATTTATATGATTTTTGGATCTTCTAGACATGTTTCACTCGGTTAGTGGTTTTTTGCATTTGTTGATTTTTATTGTACATAGAGCTTGCTTTCTTATCAATATCAAATTATTGCTCTTGATAATAATTGAAGTTAAAACAGAGAACAGAAAAGCGTTTGAAAAGAATGACACCTGTTCCGGAAAAAAAACACAGACAACCAAAAAGCAAAACTCTTCCGGATTTCACCGTGTGTAATGTACTTTAGCAAACCGTTAGACCTCAAAATTTTTGCTGTAGATCAAAGATATTATGTTTTTAAAATATTCCGTTTATCATCGTTGATTTCAGTCCCATAACCAAAATTTTGTCAGGTTTCAAAAAAATGTGGGAAATTTTTCGATCATGGAACATATATTTTCGGAATCTTGAAATTCTGAACTTGTTTCAACAAGTAAAATTTTTTGAAAATTGGAAAATTACTGATTTTCATTCAAAAATCCCAATCCTAAAATTTCAGGTGTTTTTGCAATTATCAGTTTGATGTGCGGTTCATGTAATATACGAGTATCACAAGAAATTATGGACAAATACAATCTGACATCAATCGAAGATCGACAAGAAATATCAGTCGAAATCGTCAAATCACTCGGTTTATTGGTTGGATGTTTTCAGGTTTCTAGTTTCTCTTCGTGATATTCGCAAACATTTTTCTTATTTTTCAGATTTTATTGGGATTAATAAAAGCGGATTATCTTATATCATACTTATCGGATCAGATTGTTGTTGGTTTCACAACGGGTGCGGCTTGTCACGTTTTCACGGCACAACTTAATAAAATGTTAGGGGTCAGTCTCCCAAGACATACTGGATTTGGTAAACTATTCAGAGTGAGTTTCGAAATATTTTTGATATTTTTAAAGAAATCATATGAGTTCTTTCAGATTTATCGCGATTTGATAAACAGTGTTATGGAAGATCAAGTCAACTTCTACACTTTGGCGATCTCGATCTTTACAGTCATTTTTCTTTATTCATTCAAATATATAATCACTCCTAGATGTTGTGCAAAAACCCGGTTCCCGATTCCATACGATTTATTTGTGGTTAGTTTTCCCCCTGCAAGAGCTCAAATCAAATTAATATATTATTTCAGATAATCGCTGGAACTGCTGCTTCTCAAATATTCTCTCTTCATGACACATATCACATCAAAATTGTTGGCACAATTCCAAAAGGTCTACCAGCGCCGAAATTCCCAGACATCAGCATCTTCCAATATGTGATTTCTGAAGCACTTGCAATTGCGGTTGTTAGTGTTGTTGTAACTATTTCGATGGGAAAAGTGTTCGCGAAAAAACACGACTATAAAATTGATGCTCGACAAGAGTTTTTTGCATTGGGAATGGTTGAATCGATCTCTTCAATGTTCCCGGTTTGGCCATCTTCGACAGCTTTAGCAAGATCAATTATTAATGAAAATGCGGGAACAAAAACACAGGTAAATTAAATAAATTTATAGAGAAAGATCATTTCAAAAATATACAAAAAATAATAATTTAATTGAAAGCGCAACAACAAAAAAGCTAAAAATAATAAAATTCCAGCTTTCTGCAATCATCTCAGCTACTGTTTTAATTTTGGTCTTATTCTTTATTGGTCCTCTTTTGGAGCCTCTCCCAACGGTAATTTGCACTATTTTCCACTATTTTTTCTCAACAAAATTTTTTTTCAGTGTCTTTTATCGTGCGTTGTAATCGTTGCTTTACGTGGAATGTTTATGCAATTGCAAAACTTCGGACCAAGTTTTTGGAAATTTTCAAAAATTGATTGGATTATTTTCACAATCACCTTCTTGGCAACTGTTATCTATGATATTGTTCCTGGTCTTTTCATTGGTTTTATCACTGGAATTGCTTTTTCGATTTTCAGAATTCAGAGGTGAGCGCAGAAAGCTTTTTAGCGAAAATATAATTAATAATCTCCTGCGAACTTGAATCGCCTCCCAATTTCTCCCCCGCTCATAATTGATTTCCATTTGGAATAAAGTTCGCAAGACTTGCAAAACACTGGTTGAACAATATTTCGCACCCACCTAAAAATATTGGACTTTTCAAATTTAAATTCACGCTTATGTTAGAAAATCAAAACTGACCAGTGCTGATTGTTATCTAAACATTGACAAAAAATCCGATCAGCCTCTTCTCTTGCAATATCAATATTATCATAATTCATATCGTGTTCCAAACAACATCTATCAACACCTAAATAAATTTCATTATAAAAAGCACCCCTCTTATTTTTATGGCGGCATATACATTTTGAAATGAAGGAATCTTCTTTTTTTGATGAGCCTAATTAAAAATGCTCCTCATTAGATTGCATTCATTGAAAAAGTACAATTTCGAATAGAAAAACTTTGGCAAATTAAAAATAATGAATGTCAAACTTACCCGGTGTATCTGACGGTAGTGAGATAAGAAATGAAATTAGGTTTGTAGCTTTTCCTATACCACAACTCCAACTTGAAACAAGTTGAAATGTGGTGAAGATAATGATCAAAGTTCTGAAGTGCATTTGTTCTGAAAAACTATAGATTGTGAAGCTGTTTATATATAATTTTTTTGAAATTCGATACAGTAAAAAGTCAAATGACTGAATTTCAATTCATATCAAATGAACTTCAACCAAAAATAAATTGAGCTATCAAAACAAAAATGAATTGTTTATTTAAGTGATTTTCTCACCTTTTTTGTTTTTAAGTGGCTTCCTAGAGTGAGAAGAAGATTTGTAGACTCACAACAATTTGTTGAACTAGATTTGAATTGATTAGCCAAAGAAAACTTACAATGAGCAAAATAAATCAAGTGAAGAAAAGTTCCGGTAGAAGAAACCGCGCCTACGTGTCGTCATATAGACTGTGTTGACCACTTGAGTACCTCATAATAATGTGTCTGCCGTTTTCTTGAGCAACACAAAAAAACTAAAACACAATAAATAAAAAAAACGAAATAATAACACAAATCTTATTGCAACAATAAACAAATACACCTTTATTTATTAATAATTTTGCTCAAAGAATGAAATGTATACCCTTTGATGTGTTGATTCATAAGATTTTGAACCCTTTTTCGTTTTTTTCTTCCTTTGGCTTTTCGTCCGAGTGTTATTTAATCAAAAAAGTGCAATAGTACACATGCACTTTTATTTTTTTGTTTCCAAAAGTTGTGATTCATTTGGAGACAATTTTCTTATATGTAATCTTTGGTCTTAAGACGTTGCATATGAGCTTTGCATTTTTTGTTGAACATATTATTTGAATAATAATTGGTGAACCCATATAGAAAAAATGAAAACAAAATAGTATAAGGCTGCAGATTTGATGATAAGTGAACGATTTGAAAAACGACATTCTCTTTGAAAAAATGCAGAGGAAAGTAGATGACCCGATCTTAGAGGTGAAATCGTCAGATCTCAGAGAAAAATATTTTTGATCTACCTGGAAAAGTTCTGATAATTTTGAGAACAAGGCTGAGTGTTGAACCTTGAAAATGTCCTGTCTCTTGCTCAATTTTTAATTAGGCTCAATTTATCTAATGTCCAGACTGTTAGAACACTGACCATTGTAACACAAACAGGAAAATCTCTAAAAATCACATATTTCAACAACTTTAGCAAACAATCATGCGTCCATCTTGTATCCCAAATATTTTCGTTTTTGCAGAACTCAAATAATCGCCGATGAAAACGACATTGAAAGTTCGAAAGGTATTCGAGTCACATATCCAAGTTCCTTGCTCTACTTCAACTGCGATGTTTTCGAAAAATCCTTCAACAAAATCATACATACCCAATTCTCCACAAAAGATGAGGAAACTCAAATGATTGATAAAGATAGAAATGTGGTTTTTGATATGTCTGGAATTGGAAATATTGATGTCTCCGGTGCAAATTTGCTTGTCAAATTGACTGAAAATTTGAAAGAGCAACATGGAATCTCATTCGAGTTGCAGAATCTCACAGGTATTTTTATTTTGTTATCAATCAAAAATAATTTATAATTTTTTTCAGACAATACCAAACAATTCCTTGCAAAACATCCGAGCTTCTCTCAATTGAACGTTCAATAAATCAATTCTCACTTTAATTATTTTACATACGTACACATATCTATAATAATTATTTTTTATCTGTGATAAAATATTAGTTCGAGGAGATATAAATGTATGTTTTAATCCGTTCCCCCATAAAATCTGTCCTTCTAATCTGTTTTTAATAAATAAAATCCATTTTTTGTCACTATGGAAACGGAGCACAAAAAAGAGCAGTACAACTACGAATTTCTTTGCGAGAAAGGATAATATGCAGGTTCATGGAAGATTTTTGGTAATTACTTTTACATATGAATTATTCATAAGATTGAAAACCCCTTTATTAAAAAATTCGAAATTTATTTTGTTTTGACATGAAGGAAGAAATATAGAAAGACGAAAAAACTAATATCGCGTGACATGAAAATCACATTAAAATATATTATTTTATACCGTAATTCGTATATTGTTTCTCCGAAAATTCGTTCAATTCAATTCAAATTAATGTTGTTTTGAATGGGAAAGCAATTTTTTCTTTTTCATAAAAAATATTGGACATTAAATGCGCTCCATCAGAAAATGGTCTCGCAACGCTTCCCTTTCAGTGGTCTCTCTGATCATCTGTGTCTCTTCAGTCCAGCCTCCTCTTTTTTTCTTTTTCTTCAGTCTTTGTCAATCCGTTCCTTTTCCTTCATTTTTGTTTTTCATTTCATTCAATCTAATCCAACTAAATTATTTTGATTTGAATAGGAAAACTTGGGAGGTGATGTCAACTAATCATCCAAAAACGTGGTGCGATCTAAACTGCGATCTACATGGATTGTTAATTGATAATTGGCCGAAAATCGAAGAAGGTTAGTTTTTTCATAAAATTGATTAATTTTATAGATTTTTTTGCAGTTTTTCGCCAGTATTCTACGCCTACAAATACAATCTTGATTTCCATGCAACATGATGATATGTTTCAAGTCATAATCTCGAGTGTTCTCGAAGGAAGTCGAATTCTCAAATTTACTGCCATCAAACTGTAGGTTTTTTTATCACGTGAGAACAAGAAGACCTTGAAAAATGTTATAAATCAAAATTTCTGGAACAAAGACTATATTTTAGACGGAAAAATTGAAGCTAATAAATTTGGGTGGCATATTTCAAACAAAGAAAATTTGATGCCTTTTGTGAATCCGAACCGAAAGAAATTGAAAAAACAAAAAAATTAAATTGTATTCTCGAATTTGAATTCATATTTCTTTGTACTATGCGTCATCCAAAAAAAATCGATAAATAAATTGAACATTTCCAAAAAAAAACTGCCAATCTTTTTGAACCCTGGCAGATGTTCTTTCTTGACAAATAAAAACACATTTTTCAATCATCCATTTTTTTAATTGGAAAATATATGGAATTGGTATCTAATTTATGTAACACAATAATTTTGCAGAACTGAAAAATTGATTCACATGTTTGGAGCACATCCATTTCTCAAAGAAACGGTTCCCGAGAAACTGCTTGATGCACTTGCTGAAAACACCAGACGAATTCGAGAATTCCGCTTCTTGAAAAGAAATGGGCCAAGTTTCCAAGATCCATTGGAGACTGGAGAATCGAGCTCAGCACAATCAAACAACATTGATCCAATCAATAGTATTTTGCAAAATGGAAATGAAGCCCAAGAAGATGCGCCGGTTAATGATAATGTTAGAGTGGTTGTAGAAGGGCTGGAGGAATTGGAAGATGTCAAAGATTTCGGGGAATTAATCGTAAGTTATTTGATGCATGTATTTTTCTAGAAGACAGGCTTTCAGAGAAAACAAAAAGAATTGGAGAACCAGGCCAAGCTCAATGCTCAAGCAGTTGGAGAATCAAGTAATGCTCAAGCTCAACCGGAAGACAATACTGGTGCCGTCGCTGAATCTTCAAGAAAACAAAAAAAAATAGAGAATCAGGCCAAGCCAATTGCTCAACCAGTTGATGAATCAAGACTCCTTGCTCAAGCTCAACCGGAAGACAATGCTGAGGCTGTCGCTGAATCTTCAACAATAAATGGCAAACCTGAAATTGCGGAAAATATTGATTCAGTTGTTGGAAATTCTTCATCTAATGGAAATGGATCGAAATCATCTGACAAAAATGATACCGTTGCAAAAGCTAAAACAACTCCAAAAACTCCAAAAATTACAAAGAAGTCTCCTGTAAGTTTTCCTCAAAAATTTTTTTTTTGAAAAAATCTGTCTTTCAGAAAGTGCATGATTTCGCTGCAGAACAAGTTGAACATTTGTTTGCTGATGAACCTGAAGAAGCAAACTTGTCGGATGATGAGACATACTATCCGAATAGAGAACATAAGAAGAAAAAAGTAATTATGAAAAAGGACAAACTTTGCCTAATTCTCAAATTTCAGAAACGACACTCTCGTAAAAGGAAACGTCAGCAAGAGTATCATGACGAGGACACTGACGAAGACGATTTGGATTATTCAGAAGAAGGAAGGGGTGAACACAAGAAGAAAATAGTCAAATCGGGTCCGACACCTGCTAAAAAAGTACAAACTCATCTCATAATGATACTTGGGGTATTTGTTTTTCAAAAAGTGTTTGGAAAAGCAAAATTCGAAAATCAAAACTTCAATTAATGAAAAAGATCTCCGGGAAGCACCAATTTCTAAAATGTGAATAGTTCCTTGATCCGAAAATTATTAAAAAAAAGTGTTTCCTGGATTTCTTTTTCTAGTAGGGTCAACTATTATGCAGTAAGATTTGCATGTATCATCAAATTTTTCAGAGAAGTTATGAACAGCCCAAGCAACGTTATTCAGAAGGACGCCCGCCATCACTTGCTGTAACTAGAAACCCGTACAACACGGTCAGATTTGATAGTCGATTGGTTGAAGAACCAGATGATGATGAGGCAGAAGAAGCTGTCGAAGAACAACAGCAGGAAGTAGAAGAGCCTGAAGAAACAGTTGAAAATAATGTTGTTGAAGAAAAAGAAACTGAAAAAGATTCAAATCCAGAAGAAGTTCAAGAAGAAGAGGACAAAAAACCAAATCAACCAGAAAAATCGAACGATGAACCGGTTCCAAGTACAAGCAGAGCATACCAGGGAGAGCCAGTTGATGTTACAATTGATGGAAATCAAAACAAAAAATTGAAAAAATACAACGGAATGTTGTTTGATCAAGAAGCATTAGATATACTTTATCCAGAAAAAGAAGATGACTTTAATGATTTAACATCTCAAATCTACGATGAAGAAGAAATTGCAAGATTAGATCAACGATATGCCAGACATCAATCTGCTGATGTTCCAGCTGTAGCTGATGAAGTTTCAACACTTATGGGAGAAACAGTGCAAGAATTATTGGATATGAATAAGTTGAAAAATATTGATTTCGGGTTGACTGGAGAAAAAATGAAATTGCAAGCGGTTTATGAAATGAACAATCAAGTGATGTTGAATTATTTGAACACAACAACACCACCAATCGAATGGTTGAGCTTCTACAAACTCGACAAGAATTCTCATTTCCCGGACGCTGCTTTGTATATAACAAAAGAAATGATGACGGATTCTTATGAAAAAATCTATGGAGCATATTATTCGGAATTATTCGAACAAGATGTGGATACCACAGATGCTGAACTTTTGTTCAAATACATTCTCGCCAGACAAATTTATGTGTCAAATCTTCGTTTTCCAAATGGCCGAATTACCGAATTCGAAAAATTCAATTATGGAAAATTGAAAGATGCTGGAAGTACATTTGTGTTTCCCGGTGGTGATAGAGTTGCAATCGATCACGTGAGTTGAATTCATTTTTGATTTCCAATATTCTATTTTTTGCAGAATACAAGATACACATCGAATTCGTTCTTGACGCAACAAAATTGGAAAAACTTCAAAATTGGAAGTATGGTTTGGGTTAGATTCAAATCAAAATGGTGGCCAGCATATATTGTGGCATTTGAATCAAATAATGGGGCATTCGGGCTTCCGATTTTGTCGAAACCGAAACATGGACCAGTTATCGTCAAAAATGAATTGTTAATTCATGTAAAATATCCAGACGGTGCTTGCAGTTATATGAATATTGGAATGATTGATCATTTTACAACCAATTTCTGTATTCGTTTTGATCCAACAAATGGATCTACTAATTATGTCTCCTCCGTGGCGTATTGCATTAATCAACTTCGACAAGTTGGATATTTTGAAGAGTGAGTCAGAAAAATCCTGCCACGCTCAAAAAATCAATAATATTTTGATCTTCGTGTTTTTTGTCTACTGTAAGACAATTTGATGTTCCCAGCAATATTTCGAATTAAAAATAATTCGATGTGAATTGGTTTTTTTTGCAGACACATCAGTTACAAAGTTGGAAACGCTCTTCTAAACTATGGTTGGGACTTCAACTACCTTCCACCATATCAACATAAAAGAATCTTCTGTCAAAATACTGTGCAAGGATTACCAGATCCAATGATTTTGATGGAAATGCGCACAAAATATGCGAAATCTGTGGAAGAAAAATCAACTGCCAAAGTCAAAGATTTGCTTTATTCACCATTCAGTTTTACTGAAAAATCAATTAAAAAATATGAAACTGGGCGCCGTGAGATGGCAGCAGCTCATAATATCGATCTTCATCATTTCCATCGATATTTGGAAGCAAATGGTGGAACAATGAATGCAGCTCCAATAATGTATCGTGTAACTGGATGTGTTGCAAAAGTGTAGGTTTTTTTCTTGTTGTGTTTTGAATTCGAATTCAAATCAAGTTTTCCGCTTGAGAAAAATCAAAACATGTGTTTTTCTTTCAGCATGGATAAATACAAACCATGGGGCTACAACAAAAATGAAGATTTGGAAGAACAATCTTCGAAGAAAAGCAGCAAAAAAGAAGAATAATTTCAATGTTAATTTAAAATATTTCATCATGTTTTAGAAAGTAGAATATTCACGTTGTGTGATTTTTTTCTGAAAATTTTTCATATCATTTTCAATCCCGATTTATCCATTCAACGTTGTTTTTTTTAAATTCAAACGAACCGGTTGTTCTTTTTTTTTAATATATTGCTTTGACTGTCATTTCTTTTTTTAATTATATTTTACTCCTAAATTATTGTGTTAGTGATGTAGTTTATTTATTGTATTTCATTTGAATCTCACATTCGAATTCTTTGAATGATCTCTTTAATTTATTCAAAGAAAAGTATTTAATAAACAATGTTCTTTTGTCAATTAATTGAATTCATTTGAATCAAGAAGAGTCAAAGGAAATTAGTAAAATAATGAGATTTTGAGTGTAAGTTTGAAAGCAATGTTTCTCTATCTATCTCAAATTGATGATGATACACCAAAAAAAGAAAAATGACTTCCTCCCTCTATTTTCTTTCTTGACTTTGAATAAAATATGTTTTTATTCTTCTTGCGATAATGCATCCAATTGCCTTAGGCAAAAATGTTAAGTGAAACCCTAACATCACTTTTTGTCTAGTTTTCCCTCCTTTTTAGATATTCCTAAATTGATATGACCTTTTTTGAAAAAAAAAGACGATTTTCATTTTTTAGTAGTCTTCGTCTTCGTTTACTATGATTTTGGAACTTATCGACATTTTTTAGTTTCGAGTTTTGAAATATTAAAAAAATGATTATCGATACCAACTTTATAAAATTTGGAAAAAAAAACGTTTTTGGTTGATGGAATTTCCGAAGTTAAGATGTTCTAATAAAAACTAGAAATGTTGTTGCAATTTGAAAAATTAGAGTGCAAAAGTGTATTATAATATGTAAACCAAAGTTTGTGAATTGACAAAAACAGAAGTCGAAAAAAAGACGACTAGATGAACAATTATTTTGTCCCTGACATCAGATCTTCCTTCTTTCAATTCTCCTTTTTGCATTGCTTTTTCTGTGTTTTTTGTTTCTCACAACTTTTTTTGCTTCATCTTCGTTTTTTTCCTGCATGTTTCCCCAACTCTTACGCTTTAAGATTCCAATCTGCAATAAATGGCCAAATAGATGTAGTTTTTGCCCTTCCCCCTTTTTTTTCGTTGGGCGTTCGTTCGGAATTTGGTCTCAACTCATAATTCAAATCCCAAATCCATCTTATTCCATTTTTGTCTTTCGTTTTTTCTTGAATACATTAAAATGGAATGAGTTTTCGTTTAGCTCTGTGAGAATACTGTATAATTTAGTTATTTTTAAATTTGGGTTACTGTATGTTTTCAGAGACCAAGTTTTGTTTTTTTTTATTCTTGGAAACTTGATACTTGACCAACAATATATTTTCCCATAAAGTTTTTTTCCACTTGACATTTTCTATAAAATTATGGTTCATTTGAAGAAAAAACGAGTTTCGATTCGAAAATAATTGCCCCTAAACTTTGATTTGAAAACTTTAAAACTCATATGATTTTTTCAGAAAATTTTCACATTTGTAAAAACCTTTGTTCATTCATCTGAATCATGGAATCCCAATTCGATAAACTGAATATGACTGTAGAAGAGCGCGATGAAATCTGGAGATTCTATAATGAAACTGTTCGATTTGAAAGAAAAATTGGGATTATTATTCCATCAATTTTTGCGCTTATTATTCTGATTGGTGTTATTGGCAATGTTCTAGTAGTTGTCGTTGCATTTGGCAGACAAATGAGAAATTCAACAAATACTTTAATTATAGGTTTGCCTATTTTTTCAATTGAGAAAAAAAAGGAAAAGCTGGGATTCTTTTCAGGACTAGCAATATCGGATTTGTGCTTTTTATTGTTATGTGTTCCATTTACTGCAGTTGATTATGCAGCTCCGAAATGGCTATTCCCCGAATGGACTTGTTCAATGATCAACTTCTTTCAGGTTTTCTTTAACAAAAAATTTTGCGAATAATCTGAAAATATATTTTTCCAGCATACCTCAGCGTATTGTAGTGTTTGGACTTTAACACTAATGGCTGTTGATAGATATATGGCTGTAGTATATCCAGTAGAATCAATAACTTTACGAACACCAAAAAACACAATGATAGCACTGATTGTGGTTTATGCTATAATTATAGCGTCTCAGGTAACATATGGGGGCTTGACTAAAAAAAAAGTTGAATTTTGAAGATCCCTGTTGGAAATATGCATGGAATCTATACATATCTATTCATTTGGGAAGAGAGATCAGCTTGTGCAATTTTGAGTATTGCAACTGGAGAAGCTAGCAAAACAGTAGCTCTTTCTTATTTCTTCACTTTCAACATTTTTGGTTATGTTTTACCTCTTGGAATATCAATTTTTCTATATTGGAGAATGCTTCGAAGATTATGGGATACTCCAAGACCTGGAAATGTTCAACCAACAATATCTCCAAGGAGATCCGGGGGAGAATTCAATAGCTCTGGGAGTATAAGAAATCGTCCAGAAGCAAGAAGAGCAAAGAAAAAAGTATGAGAACTGAAAAATTCTATTAAAACCATTGTATTTTTTCAGGTTACTCGACTCGTTCTTTGTGTTTTGATAACTTGGGCACTTTGTTGGTTACCTTTGAATATTTGTTTCTTTATCTCAGGAATTGTCTATCCTGACACTTTAGTTATTGCATATGGTGTTATTATGGTCATCTTCCAAATATCCAGTCAAGTTCTGGCGTATACAAATTCCTGCCTAAACCCAATTTTATACGCGATGATGTCTAAAAGTTTCAGAGAAGGTTTCATTAGAGTGATCAGGAAGCTTATGAACTTCTTGTCTTGTGGATTTTGTTTTACCGATGAAATGAAGGTAGATATAAGAAAAATTCTATTTTATCAATTCTTCTTGGTTTTCAGACATCAACTGGAATTGATGCAACATTTTACAATCAAGTTCCAGTATCTTCAATCAAAACTGAACGAACTTCACTTTTGAAAGAATCTTCCAATCGATCTTCGGTTCAAAATACTGCAACAAGTAAAACAAAACATGTGAGATAAATATTTCACAATTGTTTCTGAAACCTATTATTTTCAGGTTGGTCGAAGTAAATCATCAAGAAGCTTCAATCTTTGAATAATCTAATATATCATTCATTCATTCATTTTTATATATTTATATATATAGATGCAAAATGGATATATATGTATATGTATATGTAATTGAACATGACGGGGATAAAAATAATATTGAAATAATAAAAAAGAATAGAGATTTTTTGTTGATTGTTGGATAGAACAAAAAAGAAGAGGTGAGTGAGCTGATTTTATATCAAGATGGAAAAAAAATTGTTTTACAGAATTGTGATATTGATAGGTGCTTTCTTCTAATTTTTTTGTATTTTTTTTTGAATGTTGGAGATCAATAAAATAATTTTCTAATTTGTTCATTTTCCACTTCTTCCTTCCAAATAATATGTGAGGCATTCACCTTTTCCCTGGAACAAGAATATATTATTAAATAAATGAAAATTGATAGTTTTGAAAAAAAGTGTACCTTAACTTCAATTTTTCCTCTTTCAAGAAGTTGGAATTGTTGGAAGAAGCAATGCAAAAGATTATAAGCACTTTCAGAGATTTGAATCTTGTTAGCAACTCCAGTACTTTCCATTCGACTTGCCATATTGACAGTATCTCCAAAGAGACAATATCGTGGAGCTGCTAGACCAACAACTCCTGCAGCAACTGGTCCACTGTGGAAACCTATTCTAACCATCATTAATTCTTCAGGGCGATGAGCCAATTTGAAATTGCAAATGAAGGCGCGCATTTTGAGAGCAACATCAGCAATATTTTGAACATGATTATTTCCATTTTCATTTGGAACTCCAGAAACAATCATATAAGCATCTCCAATCGTTTCAACCTAGAAAAAGGAAGTGATTTATTCTTTTTTTTTGTAATCGGATTATATATATTTTTTATGATGCTCATAAATTTTAATGTCAATTTTGCAGTAAAAAATACCTTATATGCATCATGTTTAGCAATAATTGCATCAAAACCGCTGAACATATCATTGAGAAAAGTGACAACTTGTAACGGTGTTGAAGTTGAGGAGATTCTTGTGAAACCTCTAATATCCGAGAACAAAACAGTGGCACAACTATAGAGTTGTGGGAGCACAGATTTACCTACTTTCAAATCTTCAGCAATTGATCTGAAATAAATTTTTTTTGTTATTGAAAGCTTCAAACACAATAAAAAAATATAATAATAAAATTAGAATAATGGGCTGCTAATCACCACTTACAGATGCGACAGATTTGCACAAACTTTGTCAAATCGTATGTGGAAATCTATGCTTCTGTAAGTGGGAACCGCAAAACTGGCAAGTTCCTGAATAGTTTTCCAAACCTGAATCAAATATCCTAACTCACTTTGGAAGCATACTATTCAACAAACGATCTGCTTGTTTTTGCGCTTCTTCCAAAAGCGCAGTTCGATCTCTAACCATATTTTCAAGATTTGCAGTATATTCTTCCATCATTTTCATCATTTGATCAACTAGAGAACCTTTTCCAGTTGATTTGAGATTTGCATTAACCATTGTTCGAACTTTTTTGATCGGTGGACGCATTTCTGGAATCTCCAACCAGCAAGCCTCCAAGCACGAGAGAAGTTGAAGGTTATAACCTTCTGCTTGATTTGATGATGGAAAAACTGGACGAATCAATTGATCATCATCGTTTGCCATAGCTAACATTTCCATAAGTTCTGGAAAAAATAATGGAATTTTTCTTTATGTACAAATTTTTTCAAACATACTATTGATGCTTTTGTTTCTCTCATGAAACGGTTCAACTCTGAATAAAATCTGGTACAAAACCATTCCGAGCGCATAAATATCAGCTGCTTGAGAACCAGGAGGCAAAGTTTTGGTGGTAACAATTTCACGAATTATTTCCGGAGCTTGTTGAAGGTATTCTGAAAGCCATAACTTGATATATTTTTTTTAATTACCACCAAACTCACTTTTCCTGGCAATATCTTTAGATGGATCAACAGAATCATCTGCAGAATCTGAATCTGGATTAATTATTGGGCGAATTTCATTATGTTGTAATTTTTCAGCAATGATATTATCTGTTGCAAAATTAGTCAATTTCACAGTCCAATTTGAATCCACCAAACAATTTTGAAGGCAAAGCATTCCGTGATATTCTAATGGAGAGGTGTGGAGATAACCAAGACCCTAAAAATACATTTTTCGAAAATTCATTCAAAAGATGAGTAATTTTACCTTGACAACATCTTTCGCGAACGAAACTTGGAAATTTTTACCAAGTTTGAGTTCATCATTGAACAAAATATCTTCTAAACTTCCTCTTGAACATAAAATCCACATAACAATAAACTCATTCTGTTGATTGAATGAGATTCCATAGAACTTATTGAGATTCTCATTTTCCAGAATTTTCAACTCCTTCAACATTCTTAATTCAGATTTCGGGAATGTCAGGTTTCGAACTTGTTGGTATCTCTTTAAACAATTAGATTTATAAAACACAATGTTCAGTTTACAAACAACAAACATACTTTTATTGCCAATTTTACACCATTTGTAACAGCTTGTTTAGCAGCAATTAATCCATTTTGTTTAGAATTCATACTCCCGGAAAAACTCCCCGAACTTTGAGATTTGCTAGCAAGTGAATGCTCTGATTTCTGTAATCAATAACATATTAGGTTTATCTGTGAAACTGAACACTTACTGATTTTCCTTCAAGAAGTTTGACTGATTCTCTTGGAATTCTCCATGTCATATCATACAATAATCGTTCTTTCTGTTTCAAATAAATAAAATACGACAAAGGTCCAATGGTGAGAAGGAATATGACAAATCCAATTGCAAAGAAGTACGGACGATAATCGCATTTAGATCCAGTAAATCCACATCTCGGAAATGCTGGTGGTAGATTTCCGTCATTTTTATACCAATAATATTGAATTGATTCATGAGCAATCTGAAAAATTTGAAAATAAAATTGGGAAGGGAGAAAAGAAAACCTACATGCTCAGAGCACATATCTTCATTTCTCTCACATTGTCCGGATTCACTATTTTTCGCGGCTAATTCAACAACAATCTATAAGAGAAAAAAATTATGGATGAAGATTACTCATGTTAGAAATCAAACCTTTAACGTTCCATTGGTAACATAATATGTGGCATAGGAAGGAACACGGATAGCCTTGTTGTTCATCAAAACTTGGCCAGTCGCTCCTGGAAAAATATTCGATTTGTTTTTTCGTACTATACAACACATTTTCGGCTACATTCTTGAAGTTTTTCGAAACTCACATTTTCTTAGCAACCATTTTTTATATCAGAATCGGAAAAAAAATTATAATTACGATAGAAATGAAAAGGATTAGATATATATACAAGGATTAGCTGATAGAGATTATTTATTTATATATAGATCTCTCTTCAAAAACAAACCTTCAAATTGTCGATTAGTCATTTTTGTCCATAAAAACGATCCATTCAAATGCACATTATAATCTCGAACCACATTGAATGCATCTTTCAATGCAAGACCATACAAAAACAACGCATCATAAAGTGACATATATGATAATGTTGCATACTAAACAATTTGAATTTTACGAACTTAACCTTAGAACTAAACAATCTTACATGACTGGGTAATATTCCTGTGACTTGACTAAACTTTTTCTGGAAATCATCAAAAAATTTCTTATCATATCCGTGAGCGGTGATCACAATCGAGTTCTCGAATGCTGCTTTGACTTCTTGTTTGTCAACATTTCCAGCTTCCCATGGATAATGATCATTTTCGTGGGAAAGCCAGGGGATAACGAATACGAAATCTTCATCTTTCAAATCAGCGCGATGAACAGCAATCATGAAATTTGTAACTGAATGAATATCCATACCAAGTTCAACAACCACAACTATAAATAAGGAACGTTAATTAATTTTTATCTAATTGATGTTAACATACTTCTTGCATTTGCTGCTAAAGTGACCAATTTTCCAGAAGCTATTATATCATCTGGACTTGAATATGGTTCAATATCAATAACAATATTCAGCGCAATATCTTTTTTCTTGATATGATGTTGAAGTGAATGCACTGAAAGTCGTTCATATCCAGTGCTTGATCGAACAATACCTATCTGAAAATTTGATAGCGTTAATCTTTTCCGGATGTATCGTTGTTAACGAATTCATTTCCGGAAAATATTATAATATACTATATATCTATTTATGTACGTATAATTTTTGATCCCTATCATCAAAATTGTGAATCATCAAAAAAATAGGAATATGGGGTTTCAAAAAACAATCAGAGTTCATATCAAATGTTATCACGAATTGTAGGGTGACTTTTTTAGTGTTTAAAGAACACACAATTTAATTTGATGTTTGTTTGATTTTCTATTAACATTTAATTTTTGAATGTATCTTTTGGGAAACTGAATTCAAAATTAAAGAAGATCTAGATTTTCAACGAATTTGAGCCAGAAACAAGCTTCATCTGATTCTTTATATATATTTTTTATTTTTTTGGGAATCTTCTATATTTTCCAGTGTATGAAATCGAGATTTTGAAGTCTTTGTGCTCAATCTGGCTTACCTGATCCCAATTATTCAACTTGAGAAAAGTGACCGTTGCTTTCGCCATTTCACTAGCCGACGTCAATGCAACCGATCCCAAAGTTGGAAATTCGTGTCGATCGGATAAAATATCATCGCCAGACATGTGAGCAATAATTGGAACATTCCAACGTGGAGCTAGTCGACCAATCACCAACATTTCTGAATTTTGTTTTTTTCCAAGATCTACAAAATTATTTTTGAACTCACCATTATTACAACCAGGTCCGAAATAAATTGTGGTATTTTTCATGTAATGTAGAAATGCAGCATGTTCGACGCCGGAGAATTTTTTACAACTTTCCATTGTATAAACTCTGGAAAGTGGAAAAGCTATAGATTCCTTGGAAAATCAATAAACATACTGTAATTTGTATTTTTCGGGTAATATTCTATGTGTTTTGAGATCGTCTGCACACATTCGTAGAACTTCAGGTTCATGAGCAATGACTGGATTTGTTGGATGAAGATGTCCAATTCGAACAACTCCTTCACCTGAAAGTTTACAAAGTTGGGAAAGTGCCGAAATCAATAACAACACAACTACTTAGAACTGATGTATGGTGGCCGGAGATTTCTTTGGTGTCGATTTTATTTCCATCGATTGGCGTGAAGCGATGAGCACAAGCTATCAGAACAATGAGTAATGGGGAGAAAAGAACACACTTCATTCATTCTATAAATATTATTTTTTTTTAATTTTGAAAAGTTTTTAAAAATATTTCAGTATTCTTACCGATCTATACGAGATAAGCGACAGAAAGACGACTGGTTTTGAGACTATTAAATGATGAGCAAAATATTTCGAGGAGGTGCGACCGGATGTCTCAAATCGGATATCGCTTCTAATGGATGCATCTTCCCCACCCAACACTTTTTTACTATCCGAAAATTTGCCTAATGCACTTCCGACAAAGGTGTTGTGCACATCAGTACATAGTTTTATATTTCATAAGCTAATTTGAAGAAGATAATGTGAATATGTACGTGAAAAATAGAAATGTGTGACTAATTGTATTATGAAACATCGGATTTCCGGGTACAAACATTTTCTTGCGTGGAGTTATATTTTTGAATACTGTAAGAATGGTGAATTTATAGGAAGATGGTGAAGAAAATGGGAAAAAAATGTCAACTTTCTGTAAATCTCCTTTATCACAGAACATTTCTCACAAATGTCATAACTATTTTAAGATTCATAGCGATATTGCGCAGACTTGTAACATTGCAACTGAAAATTCTGAAAATTCCCAGAAAAAATTCCATTCGTTTTCACTGAAAAAATTGCAAGATGTTTTCTTAAACATCACTATTTCTATAATTCATAAATTATTACAAAAACAAGCACCAAATGCAAATAAAATTCTCATTTTCAGGTTTTGAATCAATCTTCTGTTCAAAAATCCATCAATATTCGTTATTCTTCGAATTTCGCCACTCCTATTCTCGTTCATTATCCCATTCATTTTTCTCCAATCATTTTTAGCGCATCATAGTCCTATTTTTGTTTTTTTTTTCTGACTCAAACAATCTTCAGTCTCATTTAGTCACCAAAAATTAAAATATCATTCCATCGGATATGATATCCATAATCGAATCAACTAGATGTTCAAAAAATATATATCTTATCTTCAATATATGTACATGTTGTATCATCAAAAACATCAATAACATAACCAAGTTTGTAGTCTACAAACATTAACGCACATAAAGAAAAAAAAATCATATTTTGACCTAACAGAAACAATTCATCCGCCAAACAAACCTTCACAAAAAAATTGACCGCATTATAATCTGCACTCTCCACACAATGCACAATCTTTTTTTGTTGTATGTCCTCGTTCTCATCCTTTGCTAAAAAATGATGGGGGAAAATGTTTTGCGAGGTTTTTTTTTATGTTTCATTCTTTGATAGAAAGAGCGAGAAAACTGTTTTCTATCAATTTATTTATTTTTGATGGTTGTTGCCTTTTATTTTTTGTCAAATGTTTTCTTGTGAAATTGATAATACGGAAATTTGAATTACATGATTTTCTTAAAATATCAAAATTTGTTTATGATCTGATGATGACTAGACATGTTGTTTTCTCGATGTAGTTTTTCGTCATCAAAATCTAAGGGATTGTAAAAACTGGAAGGGTTCTAGACGAGGGGTTTAAAAATGTTTGAAACAGCCTTTTTTGGAAATTTTTGGAGAACTTTTAATAACCTTTAAAAACCTTCATATTTTTTAAGATTGTAGAGAATGTTTTGGCCAAGTTTTTGTTTTTTTGGTTTCCCAAAGGAATGCCAACGCGCATTGGTGTTTTTTTCATTTTCAGTCATTGTTTGAATAAAACTTCTATCTAAATGTGACGTAATAAATAAATTTTCATACTAATTTTCAAAAATGAGGAGCTCCAACATATTCTATATTTCAATGTTGCATTTTTCTCGAATCATCCCTATCCTTCCCATTTTTGTCCATCAACACCACACCACGTGTAGCCTTTTTTGTCATTATTTCTCTCGTTTCTTCTATTAGCTGATATCGAGAGTTCTTTTCTTCTTATCTCTTTTGATCGACCTTGGCACAAAACAAAAATGAAACAAGGCCACACCTCCTTCTTCGCACTCTTCACACACAAAGTTTTGTTTTGTACAGAAATGTTTTGCCTTTGATATTTTCCTCTTATTCATCAATCTCAAATCTATTTTTTTTCATTATAGACAAAATGGCATATGAATCACTTTTGAGAGACTTGGCTGTTGGCGACAATCAATACAAATATTATGATTTGAACGCTTTGAACGATGCGAGATATGCTGAATTACCAATCTCAATCAAATATTTGTTGGAAGCCGCTGTTAGACATTGCGATGAATTCCACGTTTTGAAGAAGGATGTTGAAACCATTTTGGACTGGAAAAACAGTCAAAGAAACCAAGCTGAAATTCCATTCAAACCAGCTAGAGTTATCCTTCAAGATTTCACTGGTGTTCCAGCTGTTGTCGATTTGGCCGCTATGCGTGATGCAGTTCAAAACATGGGAGCTGACCCAGCAAAAATTAATCCAGTCTGCCCAGTTGATCTCGTTATTGATCACTCTGTTCAAGTTGATCACTACGGAAAGTGAGTATCTTCCCTAAAAATATGAGGTTCTCATTTTTTACGTGCAAAATTTCAGCCTCGAAGCTCTCAACAAAAATCAATCGATCGAATTTGAGCGAAACAAAGAGAGATTCAATTTCTTGAAGGTGAGTTTCTTTTTTTTTTGATAACAGCACATACACACGCTCGAAAATGTCACGCTATTTTTTGTGATATCAGCAAAAATGAAATAAATAAAAACACAAAGAACAATTCTTTTTTTTCAGTGGGGATCAAAATCATTCGACAATTTGCTCATTGTTCCACCAGGTTCCGGAATTGTCCATCAAGTAAATCTCGAGTATTTGGCTCGCACAGTTTTCGCTGACAAAAATGGAGTTTTGTATCCAGATTCAGTTGTCGGAACTGACTCACATACCACAATGATTGATGGAAGTGGAGTTCTTGGATGGGGAGTTGGTGGAATTGAAGCTGAAGCTGTTATGCTTGGACAACCAATTTCAATGGTTATTCCAGAAGTTATTGGTTATGAATTGGTTGGAACTTTGAATGATACAGTTACCAGCACTGATTTGGTTCTTACCATCACTAAAAATCTTCGTGATTTGGGAGTTGTTGGAAAATTCGTTGAATTTTTCGGAACTGGAGTTGCTTCACTTTCAATCGCTGATCGTGCTACAATTGCTAACATGTGCCCAGAATATGGAGCAACTATTGGATTCTTCCCAGTTGATAGCAGAACTATTGAGTAAGTCGATTTTTTAAAAAAGAATTTCAAAATTATATTTCCTAAAATTTTCAGCTATTTGACTCAAACTGGACGTACTGTTGAATACACTCAACGCGTTGAATCATACTTGAAATCAGTTGGATTGTTCGTTGATTACACTGACAACTCCTACCGTCCAGCATACACCAATGTTCTTAAACTTGATCTCTCCACAGTTGTCCCAAGTGTTTCCGGACCAAAAAGACCACATGACCGAGTTGAGCTCTCAACATTGGCTCAAGATTTCACAAAAGGTCTCACTGACAAGATCTCATTCAAAGGATTTGGATTGAAACCAGAAGAAGCACAAAAAACTGTGTCAGTTACTAACAACGGAAGAACTGCTGAACTTGGACATGGATCAGTTGTTATTGCTGCTATCACATCTTGCACAAATACAAGTAATCCAAGTGTTATGTTGGCTGCTGGACTTGTTGCTAAACGAGCTGTTGAATTGGGACTCAATGTTCAACCATATGTTAAGACATCACTTTCACCAGGATCTGGAGTTGTTACCAAGTATTTGGAGGCTTCTGGTTTGTTGCCATATTTGGAGAAAATTGGATTCAACATTGCTGGATATGGATGTATGACTTGTATCGGAAATTCAGGACCACTTGATGATCCAGTCACCAAGGCTATTGAAGATGTGAGTTGTTTTGTGAAAAATATTTTGGAATTTTGTTTTTTTTTCAGAACAACTTTGTTGTTGCTGGAGTTCTCTCTGGAAACAGAAACTTCGAAGGAAGAATCCACCCATTGGTCCGTGCTAATTATTTGGCATCTCCACCATTGGCTGTTCTTTACTCAATCATTGGAAACGTTAATGTCGACATCAATGGAGTTCTTGCTGTTACACCAGAAGGACGTGAAATCTTCCTCAAGGATATCTGGCCAACTCGCTCAGAAGTCGCTAAATTCGAGGAACAATTTGTCAAGCCACAATTCTTCAGAGAAGTTTATGCTAACATCGAATTAGGATCCACTCAATGGCAACAACTTGAATGCCCAGAAGTCAAGCTTTACCCATGGGATTCTAACTCAACATACATTAAGAAAGTTCCATTCTTCGATGGTATGACTTCTGAACTTCCAGCTCAATCAGATATCACAAATGCTCATGTTTTGTTGAATTTGGGAGATTCGGTAACCACTGATCATATTTCACCAGCTGGATCTATCTCGAAAACTTCACCAGCTGCTAGATTCTTGGCAACACGTGGTGTTACCCCAAGAGACTTCAACACTTATGGAGCTCGTCGTGGAAATGATGAAATTATGGCTCGAGGAACATTTGCCAATATTCGTCTTGTCAACAAACTTGCTTCAAAAACTGGACCATACACAATTCATGTTCCATCTGGTGAAGAACTTGATGTCTTCGACGCTGCTCAAAAATACAAAGATGCTGGAATTCCAGCTATTATTCTTGCTGGAAAAGAATATGGTTGTGGATCATCTCGCGATTGGGCTGCCAAAGGACCATTCCTTCAAGGAGTCAAGGCTGTTATTGCTGAATCATTCGAAAGAATTCACAGATCGAATTTGATTGGAATGGGAATTGTACCATTCCAATATCAAGCTGGACAAAATGCTGAAACTTTGGGATTGACTGGAAAAGAAACGTATAGCATTGCAGTTGCTTCGGATTTGAAACCAGGACAACTTGTTGATGTTCATGTTTCAAATGGAACCACATTCCAGGTAACACTATTTTTTAATATTATAATATAAAAATTCCAATTTTTTTCAGGTTGTTTGCCGTTTCGACACTGAAGTTGAGCTCACTTATTATAGACACGGTGGAATTCTCCAATACATGATCAGAAAACTCATTCAATAAATAATTTCAATATGTGTGATAGGTAGTATTTTTGTTGCGCTGTGATACGAAATGAATAAATAAATAAATAAATTCAATTGAATAAAAAATCTTTATAATTCAATGTGTCATTTTCATATTTTTGTCGCAAAAAATGTTGTTGTTTTCGTGAACTACCTAATCTTTTTTCTTCTTCTTCTTCTTCTTCTTTCCATCAGAACTAGTCTTTTTTCTTTTGCTAGTGATGATTTTTGTTTCGTTTCAAGGATTTTTTCGAGGACACTTTTCGAGTCATTTTCTTTTGGAAAATGGATTTTTTCGCAACAAATCTTGTGTTTCTTTGGTTTGGGTTTACTCATTGGGCTTTTTTGTGTTCTTGAACAATGCATTCTTTGTACCTTTTTGTTTGCGGAAAATTTCCAGACATTGTTCTTCTACACTTTTTCTCAGAAATTGTAAAACATAGGCAGTGGTGACGGCTTTGAAACACAGGGTCACGGGTTTGATTCTGTATGATTCTCCGAGTCGCGATTACTAACCCCGTCTTCTGTTTCTATGGTTTTTCTCATTGAACTCTTTTTGTTTTTCAAACAAAACATTGTGATCTACGAACCTTTGTACTTTATTGTTCGAAAAACTTCTTTGCCACGCTATTCTCTTCCTACTCCCACTTCCTTTCCAAAAAAATTTCATTTTCTTTTATTTTTTTGAAAAAATATGTCAGCTCTCCGTAAAACCAATTTGATTCATAGCTATTTTTTCCAAACATCACTTGCTGTCCACTATTTAGAAAAACTAATCAATCGGACCCTCCTGTCGTGAGATAGAAAAAGATATGAGACATTTTCCTCGCCATGTTTTCATTTCTCACATAATATATTATTTTTTTTTGCATTAGTTTGAAACAGAGAATAAAATAAATAAATAAATATATATATATATACATTATTCGTTGGTCAGATCATGATCATATCATATTAGCCACAATCGGAAACGACTAAAATGTTTCTCTTCACCAAAAAAAACCAACCCGATTTTATCATCTTAAATATTCTTTTTTTCAATTTTATCAACTTTCACACTCTTCCTTGTTTTCTTTTCATTTTGATAGGAATTTTTGAATATGTGTTTGTGCATTTTATTGATTTGTATATAATTTAATTTATCGATTTTATTTTATTTTCCCAAATATATTTTTTATATGTATTGTTTATAATATCTTTTTCGCACAAGAAGCGTCTTTTGAACAAAAAACTAATAAAAAAAAGAAAAAAAGATGGGCCGAACCGGGGATTGAACCCGGGACCTCTCGCACCCAAAGCGAGAATCATACCACTAGACCATTCGGCCGACAAATGTCTAGCGATGTAATTTGAGTGAAATAAAAGCTTGTCGTGTCTCTCTTTCTCTGTCTGTTTATTCATGTGTGAACCTTTTTTTCGCCTAGTCGATTGATCAGCCGTGTCCGAAAAAAGTGTCGTCTTCGCGCTTTTTTTGTCCTTTACTTCATTTTTCGACTGATAATACAATACATATTACTTCTTTTCACATTTAAGGATGTTATTTCAGCGAAATTTTTAGTCTATCTTTGTTTTTTGTTGATGTTTTTGTTTTCGTTTATTTATATCTTCCTCGCTTGTTCCTCTTTTTTTCCGAGCCACAACATTTTATTTTTGCTTTTTTACATACTCATTTCGATGTTGATTTTTTCTTCTCTTTTTTCGCGCAGTGTGTATCTTCCAGATGTTCGAAAAAACTCCATTTCTTTCTTTTTTTTCTTCTTCTAATGCGAAATATATATTTGTCGTATACATATATTCATTTTTATGACCAAAAAAAATTTTGTCTTGCAGAATGCCAAAATGAATGATCAAGAAACATCGGACACCAATAAAAATGATCTCATTTTCGCTCAACCAACATTTAATATAAAAGTCAGTTTTTTTTTCTTTTCACTTTGTTGGTTTTTCAGATTTCACTTTTTTTTTCTTCCAAGAAGAACAAACAAGCTGTTGTTTTCTCACCGTTAATTTTTGGCAAATATGTACATTCAAAACATTATTTTTGGGTGAATCGTAGAACAGGCTCACATTGAAATCCTATCAAATTTCTTTCCAAATACATATTTTTTGCAGAGCGACACTGATCTCATCACAACCGTCGCACATCTGAAAAACTCCCCAGTTGAAAATCACCCACTCATCTATTCGGATCCAGAATTAACAACTCAAACTATGAACAACCCATCTGCAGATGAAGATCCCGAAGTTGACAATGAGCAAGCTCCGATGATTGATCCTGGAGTTGTGAGTGTTGCACCAAGTGAAAAATCTGTACAGGGAGGTGAAACTCCATCAATGGCTAAAATTCCGAAGTGGGTTATTTTTTGATATTTTTTTATCCGCAGAACTTTCTCTCACATGAAAAGTGATTTATTGTTCGATAGACTCAGACTTGTTTTTGTTTCTTCTTTTTCTTTTTCAATTTTCATTGTCAACCATATGGTTTTGCCTCAAAAATATAAACAATATATTGACTCATATTAAAGCTCTCTTTGTAAAAAAAAACCTCTGTGACAAAAAATAAATATTGTATGTTGTTTTAATGGTTTCTGCACATTAGACCGAATCAGTTATTTTGGAACAAAAAAAACTCTCTCAAGGGAAGCAGATTCGGGACTAGAAGAGAGACGGGATTTTATCATAGAAAATTCAAAACTTCAAAGAATTTTATTTTCAAAGACAATTTTTTATATGAATAAATTTTTATGTGAAAACTTTTCAATGTTCCTTTGAAAAAGTTTCCTTTGAAAATCGGTATTGAAAGAAAAGAGAAAAACGTTTTGAATGTTATGTAATCGACGCTGTTGAAAACCCATGTGAAATCTAAAACATCGACTAAGTAGAAAACTTCCTGGAGAATCTTGTTTCGAAGTCAAAAATAGATGTACTTTAACGTTCATTATAAAACTGACTCTTTCTACTTTCCACATTCTGAAAACAAGAAAAATTTTTCGAATTTGTTTTCATCTTGTTAAAGCTGAAAAATGTTTAAAGCCATGTTTTGTATTACACCTCATGTCAACATGTTCTGTTTCCCAATCCCCCCAATCATTTTATATCAAATGTCTTACAGTGGTTCGCATCTCAGAAGTGAGCTCGAAATTCGTGAGCAACATTATCAACAACAACAGCAATATGCATCAACAAAAACGCCAAAAAGCTCGAAGACTAACTGATATTGATTTCGAAGGAATTCTCAAACTTATCGGAGGATGTTCTTATTGGCAAATTATTGTTTATTTGATGATTTCAGTTCAACAAGTTCCTCATGCAATGTTCAATTTATCAGTTGTTTATATGATGTATCAACCAGATCATTGGTGCAAAGTATGTTTGTTTACTCAAAAGATTTTCAGAAATTTTAATCTTGAAGTGACTGTTGTTTTCACTGCTTATCGTAATTTTGTACAAAATCATACACATTTTCAGATCCCATTTTTCAACGCGGAAGCCTTTTCTGCTGAGACTGGATACACAAACTATACTTGGGATCAAGTTCTTGGCTCATCAATTGCATTTCCTTGGATAAATGATACAAGAAGAGACACAACTTACCATGACAGATGTAATTTTTACAAAAGGGATTATGTGCATATCAAATTATCACCATGGGAACAAGTCAAAAACTTAGCACCTGCAGAAATTGTACGGTGTAAAGAATGGGAATATGACAAATCAATAATGCAAAAAACAGTTGTAACTGAATGGAATCGAGTTTGTGATAACAATTGGAGTCGAGCTCATGTTCATTTAAGTTATTCTCTTGGTTATTTGCTCGGTTGTCTTGTTGGTGGATTTGTTAGTGATCGATACGGTCGGAAAACTGCAATCTATGGTTTTGGATGTCTCACATTGATTTTCGGATTTCTCTTAACTTTTTCAAAGGAATTTGAAATTTTCCTGGTGGTCAGATTTTTGTTAGCTGCATCAAATGAAGCTTCCGATCTTGCTGCATATGTCTTATGTATGGAGATCACCGGTGTCAAATATCGAAGTATGGTTGGCTCATTGTTGCAAGCACCCTGGGCTTGTGGATATGCATTTTTAGCGTTGATTGCCTATATAACAAAATCCTGGACCGCAATACATGTGAGTTTTTTTTTGAAAAGAGAGACTGCATGAATTGGTATATGAATTTCAGATGATCACAGTAATTCTCCATTTGATTTCCATGATTTTGATTCACTTTCTTCCCGAATCTCCAAGATGGCTTATTATGAATGATCGAGTGAAAGAAGCTGAAAAAATTATTCGAAAAGCTTGTCACTATAACAAAAGTCGTTTGCCAAGTGATCTTGGATTGGTTAGTGATAATTTTGAAAATTCAGAAGTTAAAAGAGAAAAGTGTTTTCAGATTCGACACGCTGAAAAACGCAAATGGATGAAGCGAAACGAACGGCCATCATATTTCCATATTTTCAGATCATCAGAACTGTTTTTCAGAAACATGGTGTTATTTATAGTTTGGGTAAGTAGAATGTCATACATGACCTTTAAAAAAATCTCTTATTTTCTCAGATTGCGACAGCTTTAGTATATTATGGAATTGTCATTGCTTTATCAGATCAATCGTCTCCAGGAAGACAAGTTTTTGACGGAAACTTTTTCCTGAACAACGCAATTGCTGGTGCAATTGAGCTCCCAACTTTGTTATGTTGCGTATTTTTATTGAAAATGGGAAGAAAGAAATCGCAAATGTTTGCACTTTTTGGAGCAAGTTTTTCACTTCTAGCAGCAGTTATAACAATTCACAATAAATCGAACACGGTGAGAACAATCTCTGATTTAGAAAAAAAAAATCAAAAGTGTTATTTCAGCTTTCTCTCCTTTTCATGTTATTGAGTAAAGCTTGTATTCAAGGATCATTCAATATTTTGTACATTTTCACTTCTGAACTCAACCCAACTGTCGTGAGAAACACTGCTGTTGGAATATCATCAATGATTGCAAGAATGGGAGCTGGAGCATCTGGATATATTGCCATTTTGTCAGATGTTACACTGCCGTTGGTTCCAAATATTATTTTTGCAATATTTTCATTGGTCGCTGGAATGTTGGTTTTGTTATTGCCAGAAACACAAGGATTGCCGTTGCCGGAGACTATTTTGGTAAGGGGATTTGGGAGGGAATGAAATTGATTTCGCAATATTTTTTTGTAATTTGCCAAAGAAAATTCTATCATTTTTTCACAAAAAATTTTTTGAAACTTCTATCGAATAATTTTTTCTAGGATTCTGTTCAAATGATTCAACGAAACAAAAAACCATGCGGCGATATTTCTGGAACATTCATTGGCCCAAAAGACGAGGATACAACTCCATATAGTCCATCAAAAAAGCTTCCAATCATCACCGATGAAGAAGATATTTCCGAGAAAAGTGACCCATCATCATCTTCCAATTAAATCTTTCTTCTATAATATTTCAATCAATAATTTTTCACTTTATTTTAGTTAATTTTCTAGACACGGGCTCTCTATTTTCTTCCTTTCTTCATTTTTATATTTTCCTCAATGGTACAATCGCTTTACAGTATTTTTATTTCTTGTATTCCACTCATGTTTCATTTTGCTCAACATTATGAATGTGTTTTGTTGTTTTCCAAATGAATGAATAAATTTTATGTCATCTGGTCCCTAAATAAAACTCGAGAATATAAGTTTGCGACCTTTTTTGGGGTTGGCCAAAAAGAAATGTGAGAACATGTTTGTGCCTCATTCATTTTATTCTATTTTATTTATTCACATTCGGTTTCTTCCTCCCCCTTTTTTTCTCCCGTTTCCAAGAAACAAAAAGAGGCCATGAGCAAGCAAGAGCACAAAAAAATTGTTGGTTGTCACCAATTTTGTTTTGGTGGTTCTGGTGCTCGTCACTAATTGACTAATAGCGAGGGTGCTAAGAGCCAGCCCTACTTTTTCTCCTATTTGAAAATTTATGAACTTTGAAATGAATTATTGTTTTGTGGTTGCTATTCAGCCAGCAAAAAAAAGTTGATGAGAAAAAATAGGGAAGAAAAAAGGGAAATGAAAGTGGTTGTGGGAATATGACTAATGTTTCTTTTTTTCTTGAGTCTATTTTCGGACCGCCGCGGTTTTGGATATCCGGTCATTTGGCTCAGCATCTGCATGTGAGAATGTTTTTGAATGGATGGATAAATTTGGTTTATTGGTCGTGTGAAAAGATTTTCACACATTCATTTATTTTGGATTCTTTTCATTATATTCGTGAATGATTTTGTGAACTTTTGGAATTCTTTAGGCTGGAGGAGGACTTTACGTTCATCCTAAAATCCATTTTGACAAAAATTGTAACCGAGATCGAAAGAATTTCGAAAAAATATATGATGGGGTTTTGAATCTACAAATTGTTTGTCTGAAATGTCGAGGTATAAGTGCCAAATTTTGAATTATAAAATCTTCAAGAAATTCACAATTTCAAACCTCAACTAAAGATTCACAGTCTTTTCCAGATTCTACGTGGTTTGTTAATAAGACACATAATTTTATAAATTCGACGAAAACTTTTCAGGCTGGATCTGTAATGATCTGTAAACCTTGGCTCATAAGATCCTAACGGTTTAGGTGATTGTCTTACAGATATACTTTTTCTAAAAAAAAGTTGATTTTTCAGCTGGTTCCAGAAAAGTTCCCATAAGAAATTCAAGTTTTCGAAGCAAAACTCAATTTCAATTATGAATTTTTACAGTACCAAACTTTGGAATACGAAATCAATTTTTTATCAAATCAGAATCAGATTTATGTTCATCAATAATTTGGTTTCTGGTATATTCGATTATCAATTTCTTAAAATCGGAACACTTTTTCCCAGACATACATAACAGGATTTGGATTAAGCTGAAAATGAATATTAGTGGAACAGATGATTTCTCACATTCAGAATGACTCATTACACAATTCTCAAAATATATAAAACTTTACCCTTTTTGTTAGCGTTACAACGAAAATCGCAAACAAAAGCAACAAACAAATCAACATGCAAAATTACCCGAAATACACACATTGTTAGTTTTGCCCAGAGGCCACCATCCAATCAACCAAATTCACACCAATTCAATATCAAATTAGGCTTTTCCTCTTTTTTTTGCTGGGGGCAAAATGTTTTCAATCTATTTTTCGCTCAATTTCACTATTTTGTTTCATTTCACATTTTCCATCGTTAAAGATTTGTAAAAAGGAGGAAAGAACATCAACAAAAATAATAACAACTTGCTTTTTTGTGTATGTGTGTGTGCTTCTTTTGCTTCTGCTTCTTCTTCTTTCATTTCTATTACTCGGTCTTCTCGTCTCTGCGCGAGAAGTGAGAAAGAAAGAAAGAAAAAAAACGGAAAAAAAATGTCGGGAATCGATGAGATCTCACGTCAGTCCCCATCTAGAGCTAACTAACAGCCTCACCCCTCTTCTCGTATTTTTTCTTTCTTTTTTCTTGCCCGTTTTTAGTTGTTGTGTGGAGTGAGTGAGTGTGTATGTATGTGCCCAGGGGCCTTTTTCTCCCCTCAGTTTTTTCCGCTTCTTCTTTCTGTTCTGAGCCTCAATCGTTTGTCTCAAAGCAAGCCAGGAGAGGAAAAACTTTATTGCACCCTACTTTTTTTCTTCTTCTTCTTCTTATATGTATTTTTCATCTGCGATCAGAAGTATATACAAATTTGTATGCAATGAAATGTTCTACGGCAGAACAATTTTTAATTCTAGGTTTCATATGTGCTGATTATATTCTGTTGTTCACAATCAGTTCGTTCATTTGTTTTAAAATTAAATAGGTTCGGTTCTTATTGCCCTTTTCTCTGATTTTTCATTTCATTTTGTTTGCATTTCGTTTTCAATTTATTCTAAAGTGTTCTTTTTAAGGATTTTCATCGAGGCGGTAGATTAATTAAATCTCTTTCCTCTGTTGTCTGAGATCAAAAGTTCAAAATTGAAGAATCATCTATTTCACAGTATGTAATTTACTTCTCCAGATTGCTAGATCTCAAAACTTTCAAAATATTTTTCTTCGAATTTTCATTTTTGCGTTGAATTTCGCTCCTAAAAAATTTCTAAAAAAAATAATTCTTTGATTATTTTCTACATTATGAATTTCCAAGAACTGTGTTCAAAATTTTCCAAATTTTTTCGCATCGTTGATTAAAAATTTGAATTTCATGCTTGAATTTATTTTTCGAACAAAAAATTATTCAAACATCCTTCCGAACAAGATTCATTTTTTTTCTGGTCAACCATGTCATTTTCAGGAATTTTTATTTTCTGCAAAAATTCTATTCACTCATCTAATTCATCCAAAAAAATCTCATATAAAGCAGATCGACAACAAGTTTTGACATTTATAATCCCTCATCTTTCAATTCTAAATATTCGTCAATTTCATTTCCTTCCCGAAAAAAACCGATTTATGTTGCCTTGTTTCTCCACCTTCTTTAAAATTCAAGACTCAAAAAGTCACGTAGATCATTTTTGTTGCAAAAATAGAAGGAGACTACACTTTTTCGATTCTCAGTCTAAAAGGGGAATTTCAAATTAGGTTGGTTCAAATCCTTTATTTTAATTAGTCTATTTTTAAAGTGACGTTTTGCTTTTCATTTGCCCTTTTTCAGAATATTTGATAGAAAAAAAGAGAAATGCAGATTATTCCATGAATAAATTGCAGCCTTTTACGTAAATACATACACCTTGTAATTTTGATTCAGAAAAAAATTGAGCCGGGTTGATATTTTGGGTGAGGTCATTTTTTTTGAAGTGGGATCCACATTTCTATTTGGGACCTACTCAAATTTTTTTTGCAATCCCAAATTGATACTCTTGAAACTTTTTAGTAGGTCAAATTACTTTTCTCATTTTTGCGTTGGATATATTCTCGATTTAGCGTCACCCCTGGTTTCTGGTGGTAATTTACATGCTGGGAAGTATCTGAGAACCCAAAATGATTTCAGTTTCCAGATTCACCAATTTTTGTTCTACGAAATCTTTTCTCCAAACTTCAAACACCATTTTTTCTCCCAAATAAAAGTAGTTATTGAACTTTGCACTATTACCAACATAAACTCTACTCGTTATACCTCTCAACCAAAAAAAAAATGTTTGGGACCAGTCCATTCACATTTTGTTATGCTTCACTAATCATGCAACATATTTTCTCTGAAATGCAGAAAGGACGAACAAGTGAGAAAAAAGCAGCAAAAAAAAGTAAAAGAAGAAAATAGAAGAAGCGGTAAATTCCATGTGAAGAGCCACTTGATGCAAATAGCTCGATTTTTTTTCCTTTTGCGCTTCTTGATTTTTAGTCAAAATCTTGTTTGTTTTCAACAAAACACTACTTTTTTCCAGCTTTCGAAAAAAGAAAAAACTCTCTATTTTTATACATGGATATATGTGCATATCTTGTTTTTTTTTCTTCTGATTTTCAAATATATTTCAAGCTCTTCAATTTTTTTTCTAGGCAAAACTATATATATATAATTTTCATATGAATAGATACGGATAAAAATAAAAATAAAAATATTCGTGTTTTTCTGAGCAATTCTTTTTTTTTTCTTGTGAAAGAAGAGAGGACTAGCTATAAAAATTGGAGAGAATTGAGAATTGATGAATTTTCACCGCATTTTCTTGTTGTTGTGTACAATTTATCCTCGTTTTTTATGCAATATGATAGGTTTTATGGGTTTGCTCTTTTTTTACTGGGAGGCAATTTTGTTTTGAAATTTACAGTTTGTATTTTCCTGACACGTTTTGGAACTGTACATCAAAAATTATTTCTTTAGGGGAATTTCGTTAATTTAAGTTTCCTGAACTGTGGAAATTTTTGAGGTGAAACATAACTTCTGTAAAAATAATCTTTGAGTTAGCCTAACTTCTTCTGTTCACAAGAATTTCTGGCATTGGTCCAAAAATTTGGAACATTTTTTCTGGGTCTTCCGGTGAAAATTGTTTTTTAAATTTTTTTGAAGTTGGTTTTATCATTCATCCCACCCCTAGTTATCAAAAGTCAAAAATGTCTTAGTCCCAGACAAAACATTACTATGATATTCTTTTTTTCCATCTCATTCTCATTCAAAAAAAAATTCTACAAGCCATTTTTCAAATGTATTCTCATACATACATACATACACATACTAATCCAAAATGGGTTTTTTTGCTTCCCCCATGAAAAAAACCATAGAAAAATGTCTAGACAATAAAATAAATCAAAATAAAATTAAAACATCAAATAAAGATATACATCTTCCGTCTCACGTCGTTCGAAACATTTTTTTTTGCTAGCCCAAAAAGTTAGCTCAAAAAACATGCACAAAGAACGTTCCTTTTTTTGCAAAGTAGAGAAAAAATGAAAAGATATATGTAAAAGTGCAAGAAATTTGAATAAGCACGGGCTTCTTGTCTATTTTTCTACTTTT